TGCTACACCTCATCTGGTCCCTAGGCTTATGTTAAAACGTTTGCAAGAAAAGTTAGAGTTCGAGTCTTTCCTCGACCACCCGACCGTCGCTTATTCAGCTTGCACCTCATGTGGAAGTTTGCTTCTTAAGTAATTTCTCTGAGGGGCAGTGTTTGAAAGGAGCCCATTTCTTCCTAAAGGGGGGCAAGTTATTGTTATCGAAAGCTATCCGTTTTTCATTTTCCATGGAGTGTAAATCAGTAGCATAGGGAAGATATTTCTTAGTTTTCAGCTATATATGACGCTTTGCACCACGGTGCAAGTGACACACTTGATATTCTACCTCTTCAGAGTTAGTTACTGATTTTGTCTCATCCATCTGTCTCATATCTTTTAATTTTTTTATATCTCTTTAATGTTTAGTTAATAACTCACAATACAAGCATGACATTTTCCCCAAGTCTGTATTTATAATATGAATCGAAACTGGTAAACTTTTTGTAGGGTCTGAAAAAAATTAAGCAAGACAAAAGAAATTCGCTGCTGTAGTTTATTTCCTTTAACCTCTGTCAACGGTCAGTATTTCAATCCTGTACATTAAATAACGATATATTATAACTCTTTCACTACTTCTTTTCTGATACTACTTTGACATTACTATCACCTACTACTTTGATTTTCGCGCACTAATTTCAGTAAAAGAACATTTATTTAAGGCAACATATTATATCTTTTTCTATAGTTTTCTTTTTCATCATTTTCTGTGTTGTTGTAAACAGTCAATAGATAAAACAAGAATTTTCCGGGGGGTCGCTTGATAGCTCAGCTTGTCAAAAAACTAACAAATCACATTTTTTGTCTTAGTTGGAGTCTATCTGTATGTGGCCTTGAAACTGGGCAGCAAAAAATAAATGCCATAAGAGATGATGAATTACACAACTTGATATTAAACTGAAGTAGAGAACTGATAATATTAGTCTAAAAATGATGTCAGTGCTATCATCTGAGTTGTGATGCCATTTTCTTACCAAGTCACGAAATTTAATACAGGTCACGGAGGTGGAACTATATTCAATACGAACGTGAGAAGAAAATAATTTGTTCCTTCGCTATTTCTCGCAGTAAATGAATGCCACGGGATAGTGGCTAGCGTTCGCTAGACAATCTTTCTAACGGTCCAGTATAATGTCCGCCATCTTGTTTTGTCTGTTTGGTAGTACCCAGACCCTTGCATCACAGCTAGATCGCTCGACCCCGCTAGTTTCAACGCCCTAGCTTCTTACGCCCTGGTTGGAGCTGAAGAGAAGGGACCGCGCCCGAGTTCAAACAGACATAACAGAATTAATCGCCTTGCTGTTCCCTTTCCCAAGTAACCTTAAAATTTGGCCAGTTCACGTCGTAGTTGTAAAGGGACGGCATAGAAATGTACGTACAAAAACGTGTGATACACGTGCAGAATTGTTGTTTTGCTTATTAAACCTATTGTTTTTCTGACGTTTCCGTTGCCGTCTCCATCATGGTTTCGTAAGGTCCCTATTGCAAAATCTATGACGTCAGAGGGTAACAGTGCACTGTTTCGTTACCCACGAATGTTGACCGAAGACCGCCATTGCAGGGTGGTTTAATGAATTTCCAGCTTCAAAAATTCCAGCTATATAACAAATCACTTAAAAACTGGTCCCACGGAAAACAAAATTAACTGTTTCCCTCGGGACTAGTCATAACGTATTAAATATGGCTGATGCAGCACCAGAACTGTCCAATTTGAGCTGTCAGATCTGAAGCTGCTTGTCACAGGACAGGTCAAATCGGAGAGTTAAACAGCCAATGAAAATCGAGCATCAAAGATTGCTAGCTAATAAGGTTTAAACAAATTATTCAATGCAAGCAAATCAAAACCAAAAAAACTTCAGTGACTATGTTTTTGAGTTTCAGTTTGACACATTTAATGTTAGAAACAAAGGTTTTCAAAAAAAGTTCATGCAGTTGGAACTCCATATTCCAATAGTGTCTCCAAACGTTGGATGTTTTTTATTTGTTTTCGCTTTGGAAGCTGTATGTTGAGGTAGAACTTTGTACCATTTTTCACTCCTGAGTTCTCACACTTTTTTATTGACCCAATTAATTGTTGAAAGGTGTTCGTGTTATACAATTCAGGGTAATCAGGCTCGTAGATCCTGGTAATTCAGACTAGCAGTACTTCAGCTTCTCAGAATAACAATCAGAGACAACATCAGAAAACATTTAGAATATTCGAGCAAGAGAAAAGTTCGTGAGGGGTGGGATTTTTCCAAAACGAAAACACGTGATACTGACGTCATACTGAGTCCCAGTCCCAGTCCCAGACCCTCCCCTGAATTATACACCACTCAATCCTATGACCACTACTAACACAGGCCCCGTGGCCCAACGGATAAGGCATCTGACTACGAATCAGGGGATTCCAGGTTCGAATCCTGGCGGGGTCGTTTTTCCCTTTTTNCGCTTTGGAAGCTGTATGTTGAGGTAGAACTTTGTACCATTTTTCACTCCTGAGTTCTCACACTTTTTTATTGACCCAATTAATTGTTGAAAGGTGTTCGTGTTATACAATTCAGGGTAATCAGGCTCGTAGATCCTGGTAATTCAGACTAGCAGTACTTCAGCTTCTCAGAATAACAATCAGAGACAACATCAGAAAACATTTAGAATATTCGAGCAAGAGAAAAGTTCGTGAGGGGTGGGATTTTTCCAAAACGAAAACACGTGATACTGACGTCATACTGAGTCCCAGTCCCAGTCCCAGACCCTCCCCTGAATTATACACCACTCAATCCTATGACCACTACTAACACAGGCCCCGTGGCCCAACGGATAAGGCATCTGACTACGAATCAGGGGATTCCAGGTTCGAATCCTGGCGGGGTCGTTTTTCCCTTTTTTCTATGAAGCAGAGCTTCTAACACAAAACATGATATTTCGGTGCAAAGCATAGGGCAATGAATAGGGCCTCCAGAAACCAGTAGGCTAATACTAGGCCCCCCACAGGCCGCCCAAGCTCGATGCATAAATTATCGCAAGTTTGGATATTGTTTTGCATATTACGAATGATTTAAATGCTTTATGTGAGAAATTCAATATAGTTGTTAAATATTAGAAATATAGGCATAAATATAGAAATAAATTGTACTCACATAAATTTGAGCCGGTTGTTGCTTTTTCTGTGTAACCTGGGCTCAATTCTTGGCCATCATTTTATACGGTTTTATGGCTCGTTGTTTGTACTCACAAATCTCTCCCGCATCAAAGAACCGCGGACCGATTCATCATGAAAGCGCAAAATCTTTAAGGCCAGCTCAGTCTCTTGACTCTTCCCCTCGTCATGCGTATTGCGATGTGTTTTTTGTGGAAAAATTTTTTGAAGGTTTTTGGTTCTGAGCAATCTCACGTGCGCTCAGGAACCTCGATGACTACGTATTGCATAGGCTAAAGTTTACGTAATAGCAATTTATTTCTATATTTATGCCTATCATTCTACGTTTTAACAACTATACTGAATTTCTCATACAAAGTCTAAAAATCGTTCGTAATATGCAAAACAGTATCGAAACTCGCGGTAATTTATGCATCAAGCTTGGGCCGCCTGTGGGCCGCCTCACTAAATGGTACACGCACAATTATTAAAGCTTTCAACTGTCTTATATAAACTTATCTATTGGAAGACTCGTAGAGCTCCTGGCTGCCGCTCGCTCAGGTGCTACACCTCATCTGGTCCCTAGGCTTATGTTAAAACGTTTGCAAGAAAAGTTAGAGTTCGAGTCTTTCCTCGACCACCCGACCGTCGCTTATTCAGCTTGCACCTCATGTGGAAGTTTGCTTCTTAAGTAATTTCTCTGAGGGGCAGTGTTTGAAAGGAGCCCATTTCTTCCTAAAGGGGGGCAAGTTATTGTTATCGAAAGCTATCCGTTTTTCATTTTCCATGGAGTGTAAATCAGTAGCATAGGGAAGATATTTCTTAGTTTTCAGCTATATATGACGCTTTGCACCACGGTGCAAGTGACACACTTGATATTCTACCTCTTCAGAGTTAGTTACTGATTTTGTCTCATCCATCTGTCTCATATCTTTTAATTTTTTTATATCTCTTTAATGTTTAGTTAATAACTCACAATACAAGCATGACATTTTCCCCAAGTCTGTATTTATAATATGAATCGAAACTGGTAAACTTTTTGTAGGGTCTGAAAAAAATTAAGCAAGACAAAAGAAATTCGCTGCTGTAGTTTATTTCCTTTAACCTCTGTCAACGGTCAGTATTTCAATCCTGTACATTAAATAACGATATATTATAACTCTTTCACTACTTCTTTTCTGATACTACTTTGACATTACTATCACCTACTACTTTGATTTTCGCGCACTAATTTCAGTAAAAGAACATTTATTTAAGGCAACATATTATATCTTTTTCTATAGTTTTCTTTTTCATCATTTTCTGTGTTGTTGTAAACAGTCAATAGATAAAACAAGAATTTTCCGGGGGGTCGCTTGATAGCTCAGCTTGTCAAAAAACTAACAAATCACATTTTTTGTCTTAGTTGGAGTCTATCTGACCTTGATTGGAGAGTTGAGAAGAGTATATCTACTGTCTATATCTATTATTCGACTAATTTATTAAGTTTGAATCCCCAGAATTACATCATTTGAAGTCGCTCATCACTTGGAGTATTTGTTAACTATCCGGCATCAGCTGACGTTTAATTCCTTCGACTTTTTTGCGGATTGGTTTGTTTCAGCCACCTGACAATCATTTTTACACAGAGGAAATAGAATCTCGTGAACCAGCGAGATTCCATTTTCATCACGTTTCCCTAGTTAATAAAATAATTTCATTGGTTGGCCAATACCAATGCTATTCATGTTACCATGTGGAAATAATTTTGAAAATTAACTGAAAAATAACGCAGTAACTAAAAACAAGTAACACATGGTACCAATATCTTCAAAATAAATTGTTTTCCAATAGCAAATACTTTTTAAGGCTATTTCCAGAAGTAGCACTGTAACATTGTAATAAGATTTCCAGTGTAAACAGGATTGTAATTGTACATCAGTGCTGCCTTCTCTTCTTTGATGCTTGGAAATTGATGGGAGCTTAAGCGAGCTGAATTGAAAAAAAAAATACAAAGCTTAAGTATGGACTGCAGGACCTTGTTTCTCAAGTCAAAGTGCACGACTCGGGGCTCACATTTAGCAATTGTTGGTGGTGTTGTTGATCGTCTGTTGGTTTTGTGTGTGTCTGTTTTTTGCTTTCTTTTGTTTTGTTTCCTCGCTGGTATTTTAATCTTTAAGGTTAAAATATCGACACAGTTGACACAGAAAACAAATTGAATATGGCGATGAAAGGAAACAAATATAAACCGAGGAGAAAAGTGATGGCTTCAAAGTGCTAAGGGTTATTTGGATTTCTAGGTAACCTTTGCAAAATCTTTAAATAGAAATGTTAGTAAGGTGGTCAATAGTGAAGTGTTTAGTTCTTTTCAGCCAAATCAGTCAAATGAACAATAATTCAGGCCCTAACAAACGCTTTTTATGAATTATACATGCAGTAAAATTACACAAACTGTTACCTTGGTTGACGAAGAAGTTAGCCCAGTATTGCCCGGCAAGAATGGCCTCTTGGGTGTGCTTTATGTCTTTCACACGTGACCATTCAAACTGGGGTTTTGCTGGATGCCACTGGAACAAGTAGAAAGGGTATTTTCGTGCTGTGAAGGTAATATAAGAAAAAGTTGGAGAGTTAGACATGCCATCTACTTTACTACTTTAAAGATAATGGCTGTAGTTTCTTAATCAGTGAAACTTGTTTCCGTAGAATTTAATATGAAGTGACAAAATATTAGGTGTTGCAGTGAGGTAGTTGTGGGAGTCCTTATTTGGTTATTAAGGGATAGTGTAGTTACAGTCTGTTGAAATTAAGTGGTGGTTGTGAAAGATCATATCGATAGTCGAAAACATACTTGTACTTATTTTAAACATTTCCAGGCTTTCTGTTTAGGATTGTTTTTCGGTCAGTTTTGATAATATTTGTATGGAGAGAACATGGATAAGGGAAAGTTCATTTAATATAGAGAAAGGGGGTATGAAGATGTTGAGGGCTAAAATTTGTGTGTGTATGTGTTCGGAGGGCTTGGAAAAATCGGTAAGGTCAAGAGGGAGGACGTACAATCTGGATATAGAACTAAGGGCCTGATCACTTGAACCGGGTGGCTCGCTTTGCGGAGATCTCGGCATCTTAGTTAAACGCAACAAAAATCAACTTTGCGATTATATGACAACCGAGCCAGCTCGGTTAGCAGGGATCCCAGTATTGCGATGCCGGGATCCTGGGCAGAAATTTCCCAAGTAATCACGCTTGCCGGGCGGCCTGAGGAATGAACCAAGCGTGAAACAGGACCGAGGGTAACACAGTTTTCATGCCCATTGCTTCCAACCTCTGTATAAAAATGGCGGCTCTGGGCTGGCCCTTTTCGTGTACTACGAGGATAAAAGTCACCTCGACATGAGCTAGGCAGCCCAGCTCATGTGATCAGGCCCTCACTGTGCGCTGTATTGTCACGCCGAAAGCTTTGAAATTTCCCTCTTTCGTGGCTCGTCTATGAGAGTAAGACTTAATCTAATTAACCCAATGGTCTAAAAATAACTGTCATGAACGTGGTTTGCACGTGAAGATGTTGGACTCTGCCCCTTTTAGGGTTCGATCGTGAAAGAATGCAACTTGTTTACGGGATCATTTTTCTCAATAAGATTTTAAGAAATCACCTCCTTTCCGAAAATCTGCAATGAAATTATGCGTCATTCAATCAGTTACCGTTATTTATCTAATGCATGATCACCGAATTTTTCGTGACATCTTTGGCTCTCGAAAACTGAGGGCAAAAATGTTGTCAAACTCTTAGCAATAGGCCATTACTGGCAATGAATAGTCTGTGCAATAAACAAGGGCAGTGACCAGTACCTATGGTCCTGGTTAAAAACATTCACCCCGTGTGCTGCGAGGACAATTATTTACCAAAGGGAAAATTTAAGTTATTTAATAGTTTGTTTCACTCGGTGTACCTTGCCGCATTTTTCTGCCGTGCTTTAGCTGTTGGACGTATTATAACGAGCATAAACGCTGTGTCGTGCACATCGCGGGACGGACATCCGCGTAGCTTGGCTTGTTTACTTGTCTTGTTTACGTTCGCACGTATTGCGTGCCCACTGCCACTTTGAATCAAAACAGGCGAAATCGGTTCCTCGATTTGGACGATGTCCAAATAATAAGTAATGGGGTCATTACGTTGCTATGACAACTCCGATGTCATTGCAATCCTGATCATAACAATTTTTCACCTTTATCTAATACAGCTGTGGTGGTAATTTTCCAAATCTTTTTTAATAGAGACCTAGTTTATGCTCAAACTTGGGAGGTATTGACTCTGAAAAACCCCATAGAGCCACCTTAAAACGATCCCTGGTGGTGTAAAATCCTTCGGACCCAGTACACTCAGAGTTTCTTGAAAATGGCAGGTCGTTAGCAATCATTCGCTGGGAGCAAATCAATACGAATTGGGTGGTCATATCTTACGTAAAGACAAGGGATTCTCGTTGATTCTTGTCGTTTCAACTATACAGCTACGTATAATAGTGAAGGATCGTCTAAAAGGATCTTGAAATGACGAAGCAGAATTTTTGCGACTTCCCCGTGCGCGTGTTTTTTCCCCCGATATTTAAGTTCGAAAGGCAGTGTCATTGCTGCAATAAAACCCACAACAGCACTCCACAGAAGAACATGATAAAGCCCGACGCGTTGTTAATGTTCTGAATGTTAGCACTTTTATAAATAATTATTTTATGTATTTCAGGAGTATTTCAACGAAGTGTTTCACCGATCTAGAACTTAAAACTGCGCAAATTACAAGTAAAAAGCAAACCATTTCTAATTATGAAATCCTATTCTTATTTTTATGTATTCTTTGTAAAGGCAACATATATGAGGACTCATTACGAAAAACATAAAACTGTCACAGTCCCTATGAAGTAAACAAATCGATCGAACAAAACTTCAATATTTAAGATGCTTCTTTTATTACTACACCAAAGCCTTAGTAAACTTACCTTCCATCGTTGATATGAATGGTTTTCCTTCTCTATCCTTGTTTATTGATACTATTTGAAAAAAGTTTTTCAACTTTTCATCCTTATTGAATGTCTACGTGAGAAAAAGAAGAAGAAGAAGAACGCGATAGTCAAGTACATAGTTGCTAATTTCTCTGACGTCTGCTGCGCTAAATCACCCAACCAAAGACCCGCGATCAATAACATCAACCTCGTCCCCAATAGGGCTTCACGATTCCCGCCGCTGGTACAGTGATAGGCATCCCCATTCCCAAACCCATGTGTCATGGGCATCCCCTTCTCATATTTCCTAAGCGATTTTGGTTAGGGTTGGGGTTAGGGTTACCGGGGATGCCCATATCACTAGGGTTTTTGGAATGGGGATGCCCAAAAGGCGGGGATGCTCATATCAATTTGGCACCTTCATATTGGAAAATGAAAAGACCATGGGGACGAGTCTGCAATAGTATAGCTTAGGGGATAGAGAAAGCACAGATTGTTGTCAATATCAACCCCCTTTTACGGTTCAAAAACACTGTGAACTACCACTACTACCACAACCTTGATAAACCAGTTTTGCCTACCTGTACTAAGGCTTGATGCTTTTCGGGCCAGACTGAATGCTTACTACATTAGAGTAGACTAACTCAGTTTGTTTACCTCCGGCGTGATTCCTCTGAAATGGTTGTTATAGTTGATATCCTGTTGGGTTATGAAGTTGATTATATAATCTGGAGCAGATCCTAACAGCTTAGTCGACTTATAATCTAAGAGATGAAAGATATGTTGAGAATGAGTGACAGTTTGAATGTTGTTTAAAATTGTATTGTTTTGTCTTGTATTGCACAGTTTTAAGTGAAGTTTAAAAAGCGAAAAAAAGCCGATGTTTCCGCGTCACCTGACGCCATCCTCACATTTCATAATAATAAGCAAAAAATTTGTGAAGTCACAAAAGCACTTATAAAATTTTTTTGTGTTATGGTGTTCGTTTAAAAATGTGTATGTGAATGACGACGGTAGCGATTATTAACACGTTCATATTGTGTATCGTGTGTCGTGTATCGTTCATACACGTTCTACGTAGGGGACGTAGACCCCTGCGGTGTGGTCAACCGTCACTCATCACATCATTCACATCATGGGTTGGGTGGGTACAGTAAGCTCATAAATGGACTGAGAGCGGCTGCCAGTGGCGCCTTTGTATGCTGACGTCCGAGCTTACTGTTCACATGTTGAAATGTATTGTAAGAGGGCAAGTCTGTTGTCCTCTCATCCACGACTCTTCTTCATCAGGTTGTGGACTCGTGTGTAATCTACTTACTCTGCATTGCACAGGTTACACTGAAACTTGTATGCAACACATTGTTTGATTTAAGCCACAACAAACAAGTTGCGGTTTATCTCTTACCCAGATCTCTCGTCCCCGAAGCCGAAGCTTTCGTCGACTAGAGATCTGGGTAAGGGATTAAAAAGTGGTTTGCTTTTGCAGTTATACGTTTCATTATTTGTTCCTTGTAGCCTCGTTCTCATTACTAAAACAATAGCAACAGCGAAGATAGAAATAGTCCGCTCCCCGCGACGACGAACAGGTAAACTTCTCTGTCACCCGCAAGTCCACCACAAATGAACTGAAAGCAGGGTGAGAGGCGGAAAAATCACAGATCTTGCGAGGAAAACTGCAGCTATCCATAAATGCTTAGTGGGCACTAGGCTGACAAGTAACTTAAGCAATGCGGGGAGTGTATAGTGGTTTCTATGCTGGTTTTATACTATTTGATCAACTTCTTTAGTATAAGTACTGTATTATTATGTAACAAAGTATGCAACTCTAGTTACCTGAAGGCAGCTCAAGCCTTAAACTGATATTTCGTGCATCTGTAAGACTGAACAAAGACTCGTCATACTGTCCTTTACTCACGTCCCTTTCACCGATCAATAAGGCCAATAATTCCAGTCCTAAACACTCCGCCCAGATCGGAAAAACTTCCCCAGTCTGGTCATAAGCCTTTAATTGTAAATGAACAATTGGGCATAAATCGCTGATAAGCTACGCTTGTCTCTACTGTCTTTGAGGTCTTGTAACAAAAGTTATAAAATGCTCCAACCGATAATGAACACTGTATCTGAAGCTTGTGGCTTTCCAGTGTTCGACGCAACCTCATCCCTAGAGCATTTCTTAGTGGTCGACGAAGAACCTTTTATCCTACGTTTCGATCATACTGACACAGAGTATTTAAAAGTTCAATTTCCATTTTTTCATTTTTCTCAGGATTAGTAAGGTATAAAAACAAGTTTGCAACAAAATAAATCTGGAACCGCCGACTGTAATCATCGCTTTAAGCTTGAAACACGATGATGAAAAAGGTAGTTGAGATGATGATGGCAAATGAGTGACGATGATGATGAAAAACAATAAGGACAAAAAACCGTCTCACAGTACTTTCACTTATCTGGTTCTTGTGGGACGTGACGTAAAAGAACCCACACCATTGTTCGAAAAGAGTAGGGGACGTAAACTCCGGTGGTGTGGCCAACTTTTTCTGGGCTGGGTGGGTTACCCGTAAGGAGAGAACTTAATATAGGGATAACCTGATGATCCTCCTTCAGGTATCTTAATGGCTATTTGTAAACAGTTGATGTATGTAACATATAGATCAAGCCAAGTCTTAAAGCGAAGCTTCCGTTTATATAATTATTATAAAAACAATAAATTTTAAGCCATTACATAGAAATATGGCACCCTCCATTTACCTTTTGATAAAGGGATCGGTTGGTTTAAAGGTGGCTTGACCTGGTTTTTTAGTGTCCACATCAATTGTTCTTTGACTGACACGAAATGCATCAGATACAAAGCAGGAGATTGCATTGTTCCTCCTTGTCTGGTATAGATAACATTTCTTTCATTTTTCTTATCGTTATACCAGCCACAGATTTCAAATAGAGATTTTTCTCATAAAAACTTGCCAAAATAGGTACACATAGGTGCAAGATAGCTATATGAGCTACAATTCCGATGAGAAGCTTTAAAAAAGGCAAGATTAAGATTATTAATCAATGCTTATAGATTGAGGAGACGTTAAAATGGTAATGGTGTCAAGCGCGTCGCTGTGGATACGTCGATCTCCAAAAAAAATGGGTTTCCCCCCTCGCTAACAGTTTCCCCTTCCCCTCTCCCACAGTCTGTAGGGCGGATGGGTGGGCAGGCGAACCTGACGTCATAACCATATAAGTGAAAACAATCCGTAATGTTGTTAACGGGAGCAGGAAAAGAGTAAAGTTGGATTGCACTGTTTATTCTGCAAAGTACAATCATATTAAAAAGTCTTTTTATTGAAACCTGGCAGCATTCTTAGTCTTCTCATCAACTGAGCAGTGTTGTGGCTGTCAGTAAAGTGACGAAAGTGCGTGGTCACAAACAAGATCTACTCAATTATATAATAACTTTACTGCACTCTCATTGGCCTTGCAAATTTAAGACAGTGCTACACAGGATGCAGTTCAAAGGGGGAGTTCCTTGAGGATCAATGTGATCCCTCCCTGTTTACAGAAAAATAACGATACTTAAGGTTTATGATGAAATAAACTGCCGTATCGTGGTTAACACTACGCACAAGGTAAATCAATGTTATTTTTTTGGCTAACACAAAAAAACAACTATTCATTTTAGAAAATATCTTTAAATTATCCAAAGTTTCAAGACTTTTAAGTCTTGAAAGACTGAAGGGAGAGGAAGGTTGGCTATTACCCTGACAGGAAGCTGTAGTAAAACCCCCTATTGAAATATCCTGCCTACGCCCATGCGATCCTATTCTGTTGTGGAACAGTATGAAAACTAACCTTGGTCGCAAGGTCCAGTAATTTTTTGCCGACTGTTGTGTATCCTGACTGGTTCAGCTTTACATGGCCTCCTGGAAGGATTACCCTTGTCACAAAATCAAACACGATTAAAAAGTTTTATATTAGGAATGAGACTGGGTATTTTTGACGAAATCTAAGTAGGGACGATCGCTTTTGTTTTGAGACTGAAACGACGCGGATCGCTTTGCCATTCTCGCCGATCAAGTTTGACAACGTTAATCGTGCGACGAAGGCAAATTTTTGATCTGCCAAAATTAAAGTGAGTTTTAAGTGAATTTTTTTCCTTATTGAACCTGTTGCTTTTTTATCTTCTCGTTTCCGTCTTCGTCGTTGTCGTCGTGGTGGTTGCTCAAGCTCGCTTGTAGCGTCAGCACGGAAAACAATTATTGAAATGCGACTATTTCGTTAAAAACCTACGACTTGATAGAAAACGCGCGACGAAAACGACGTCCGCAGTTACACTCATGGAGCGGCCAAAGAGTGCAAAGCGTATAAAGAGACATCAGCCAATCCTCAAAAGTCCAGAATTCATACTAACTGCCAAAAGTGAGAAGTGTGAGAGAAAAATGGAAATTACTCAGACTAGCTACTGCTGTTTTTTGTTTCCTATCGCTGTTTCATCCAAGACCAAATTATGATGGAAACACATTTTTGTCATCGCCATTCAAACCAGTATTTTCATCCAAATACATGTAACTAAAATACATTTTCAAACGCAGAATATTCTAGTGAATCAGCGAATTCATGATGCACTAGAACCTATAGTCGCACAAACCCTGATTAAACTCTTAAAACTGCGTTCTTAAGACAAAAAAACAAACGAACAAATAAACAGTAAACTGATCCTCACATGATAAATTAGTTTCATGGTGTCTATCTATGTTAGGCTCCTTGCGTGTCTTTCTGACAGACAAGAACACGGTCATTGTGGATGCGTTCCAGAACAGGGAGAGGGTATTTACCAATACGTGGAAGCTCCGCCTAGAGTTCCAACCCCTTACCCTTTTATATACCATTTTTTCACAGAAAGAGTACCCTCTTGTACACCTTCTACTGACCAATGGTACCCCCGTTTCACATACCTAGTTAAGAACGTAGCATCCCCTTTAATTGCTGTAAATTGACCTTGTTTTTAATATGAATAAGTCACTAAACCAGGACGTTTTCTTGCGTCTTTTACATCCTTAAAATGCGTCTCTGAGCCATTTTTGGCCTTTTTACAGACCAAAATGGCAGATTTCTTTACTCTTTCACATACTTCAGCTATTGAAATCCCTACCCTTAAGCTTGAAAAAGGTACCCATTTCGGACGGAGCCTCTCCGTATAGGCTTCTAGAGGGAGTATCTCCCGGGGTTCCAAAGGAACATGGAAGACTTCAGAGTAGCGGTGACTTTATTAAAGTAAAGCTTTTTAATACTTAGAATATCAACGTACCCGTTTAGAGAATGAAACATCCTTTCTACTTCCTCCATGCTCGAGTTAACACTGGGGAACTTAGTGAAGGAAAAGAGTTTTGTGTACAGTCACAATGAAGATTAGTCATAAGGGTTGAGATCGACACTACTCTGCATATGCGATTTATCTTTACTTTGTTTAAGAGAAACGGTGATGGTTTTGTTTTAATGAATGAGCAGGGTTATCAGTTCCTCGAATGTAATAAAAATTATAAAGAAAGTGATGAGTGATGTTCTGATGACCATACTAATCTCCATGGTGATGGTGATGATGATGGTGGTGATGCTAATAATCATGGTAAAACCATAGTTAATTGAGTGGAATGGTTATGAAACCCGTCAGACTCCTTTGTTATTTGTTTTTGTGGACCTGAAAGTGCACAACGTTCAAAAGTATTCCTATCATTTTGATTGTATTGACCAATAAAAACGTTGCATTAATTTATTCCGTAACAATTTGCCAACAGAAAACAAAGGATTGTGCACTTTCAGGGTGCTTCCAACATAAACTGCAGCACTGTTGTTTTTATCATTGTTTTTATCATTGATGTTTGCCGCTTTTCATAACCAGTCTCCTCTAATAACTATGGTAAAACCAAAACAGCAAGGAAGTACACACTACGAAAAACCCACGGTAAATGTCTAGTACTTCACACATGTACACAGCCATACATATAACCCGGGCATTAGCAGCCAGTTTCCAGCCAGCAGCTCCATGTTTTCTGTGGAGCTGTCGCTTGAAAGGGTTCTTTGCATTCGCCTCGTTGGCAGGAAAGGCTCGCTGAACACGACTTTGACCGTGCTAAGCAATAATGAGGGCCACTATTGGGGCGAAACAGCTGTCCAAGCGGACTGCCATAACTCGAGTGATATGTCCATGAAAGCGTTACTGGCTAGCAGGCCTTAGGTTGGTGACGGTGTCACTTGCTTTGAGGATGTTAATATTAATCATCATATCTACCGTCAACAAAGTGGTTTTTTTTACCAGAAAAATTGGTGCGAGGACTGGTGGATCAAGGTGAAATAATTCTTTTAACAGGGAGAGAGTCGTAAAGGTTGTTTCAGGAATGCAGACGTTTGCAAATTAGTTTGGTATGAAATGAAGTTATATGATAAAGGTAATAATAACGATGATGAAAACTGTAAAATCCATAAAAGAAAGCAGTACAAAATGTCGAAATGTAGCTCTTTTGGGATAAAAGTAATCGAAAGACGGAGAGGTGATTTTCTGTGCTAAATATAGTCAATATACACTGTAACTAAGGAAATGAGTAAGATAGTAAGGATACAAGATTGGAGCAGCTCGGGCCCCGGCAGACTCTAGGAACTTGACATATACGGCCACAAGATACTGACTACCAAACTGCAGCAGTTTTCCATTGGTCTCTTGTGTTACAATACCTTAAAAAAAAATAACGTTATTGTACACACAGAGGTACCAATGATCACCCTCTTAAAGTTATCTATTTAATCGTAACAGGCTGCACTTGCTTAGCAAACAGCAGTTATAAAAATCAACAGTAAATCACACAGTTCAACTCGGAAAACTTAACTTTAATGCAAATAGAATTTTAGTATTTTTAATCTGTCTCTGTTATAGCTTACCATAAAAAGAACAAACAACAAATTTTGTTTCAAAATTCCTTAGAGAAAGCCTCTTCCATTATTAAACCATACAGTATGATACGGCTACGATCAAGTTGCACTGAGATCGCTCAGATCACATTCTTTCTGCTCGCTAAAACGTTTCGTACACTTTTCATAGTTAAACATCGTCCATTTTTACAGGGCTTTTTTCACTCTTTCCTGTCCTCATTGATCGGTTTCAAAGCGGCACAAGAACAATGATCAAAATTAAACATTAACCTTTTTCTTGGCTATGACTAGGTGTTTAGATAATGTTACACTTTTCGATTTGCAACGACGAAGGGTAGCAGTGTTTTCAAAATTAGAAACCGGTGTCGCAAAAATATTGCAACAATCTGTTGCGCTGAACGTCCTCCCGAGTAACATCGCTTTGAGACAATATTCCTCAGTTTTTTATCCCTGCCTTATGCAAGTTTACAGTGAAACGAGTACACAGTTTATCATCACTTCCAAACGCCCTCTAGTACTGAAGGAGCATTGTAAAGAAGACCCAGGAGGTCACCTGCGTACCAGCCGAAATTTTCTTTTGTAAGTGGCGCTCTCTCCTCCGGCCGCAGAGGCCTTTTTGTATCGTAGGGAGGCTAGGGAGAAAGAAAAAGAAAGCGCGCGGGGTATGATGGGAAGGGGAAAGAGAGAAGAGAGGCGGTTCTCTGGCAGGATTTGCGGTTCTGTGGTTTGGGCTAAACCAGTCGACGACTATTTGAACGATATCTGAAGGCTGTTGTGAAGATGGTGGTTTAAAAGGCTAGTATACGCAATTTGATGTAGTTTCCATTTTGTTTCACGGATTTTTTACGCTTCGTGTTTTTGGAGCGATTGTCTGCCATCTTGGCTAGTCATGTTCAGTGTAATCAACTGTGGTTCTCCTTCATATAAAGGTCGAAAACTAACTTAAAGGTGAAGCCCAATTCCGGTGAATTACACATACTTTACTTCAAACTGATGTTAGCCTGCAGCTGCAAGAAAGCCTAAATCTTCGATTTTGAATTCTAAGTATGGAAACGTCGAACGAGAATACCTTATAATGAACTTCAGCTTAATAATAATTAACTTCAGTTAAATTTTAAGACTGTACTGTAGGCTTAAATACGTTCCATTTGGACGTATATTTTTAATAGTCGCTTTAATAGTTTCCCTGGTCCCCCGCGCGCTTTCCATTTTTCATGATTTATGTAATTTTTATTCGGTTACCCAGCGGGAGCCTGGCGGAGGAGAGAGGATATATTCATCCAATTATAGACTCAATGAATATATTGAAGCAGAAGACAGAAGAGGAAAATAAGAACAAAAATTTTGGTAGTAGTAGCACTTTAAGGAGGTTACAAGCAAAGGGCTTTCAGACAGGCAAACTCTGTTACAACGCCTGCCGATCAATTGTTGGGGTACCAGCTGTCAATCCTCTTTCACAGTAAAATACATTTCCCTGAAGATACAACCGGGCCTGTGCGTTGGAAAATAGTTTTTTGTAGCTGAGTTTAATATTTTTTATTTTATTTTATTCCTTTTGGCAGTTGAGCCTTTCAGTTATTCGAATAAAACCTCAATGAAAAAACGGCAGTACGTTAAATATCCGAGCTTGTTATATAAAAGAATGTTATTATACTTCACTGTCTGTTTTAATTAGAAAAATATATCATCGAACCTGTTGTAAGCACCAGGGGACCACTTTTATAACTCAAATGTCGGTCACTATATTTAATTACCACGAACGTACAGAGATGTATTTTAATGTTCGTATCCACGAGAAGATAGCGGGATCCGTTATTGATACCATGTATACTTTCTTTATTGCACAACTCAACTTGATCTATCCAGTTCGGGGTAGTAAAGATGAGTAAAACCGGAGCAACGCACAAGCCACCACCACAACACATGCAAGGACACGGGAGGCCGGACGACTACGAGCACGAGATTAGACTGAAAGTTTTTTTTTCATTCGCTTATTCTCAATTTAAAAAAACTCCTAAAGGCTCATTTCACTTTTCTCGCCAGAAATGTTAACGCAGTTGATTTTTTATTGACGGATTTTAAGCCCTCTCTCGATTGAATGACAAAACACCTAACTAACTTACTTTCTTCCGTCACTACGACATTTTTGCAGAAAATCGCAGTAGAATGAGGACGGCTATCGCGTCTTCCCGCCAAAATGACGCTGGTTCAGATCGGCGCACTACGTAGTATTGGGAAAATGTTGTTCTCGTAGTCGTCCTCACGGCTCGTATAGGAATCTAAAGATATCTACTATTTTAGCTCAGTGCCTGTAGAATCGACCCTTGCAGTCGGGCCGGCCAAGGGAGAGAGTCACAAAATTCACAAGTTCAACTTATCCAGTGATCTATATTCTATTCTATTAAAATGGACTTTATGTTAAAAGAAATTAAAAAGTACATTACTTACCAATAACTGGCCGATTATTTTTTATACTTCTTTTGTCGGCAAGAAATTTTGTTTGTGTCTGATCGGAAAGGGTAAAAAATGTTCCAAAAGCAACGGTCAGCAAGAAACAAGGAAACATTTTCTTTCCAGCTCTTCGGAAAAGTGGGATTCAAAACTTGAGGCAAGATAAATTAAGTGTAAATCTGTCGATACCCGTGTTTATTCGACACCGCAAGCACTCAACACCAGTGATTTTTCCACGCCCGAGACTATTGAATAGCATTTAGGACACCCGTTAGCAGGCTGCTACTTAACAGCGTCAAGCACTAAGGAACATCGTCACGTAAGTCTGACCTTACTTGCACAAGTCACTGATCGAGGAACAGCGCTGTTTGGACTATTTTATATATGACTTTAGTCTCACATAGTCTCTCCAACGAAGAGACTATGGTCTAAATAAAAGTTTGGGATAGGATACGCGGAGAATTGATCAGTATTACGCTATATATAACGCGACAGGTGAAAAATCATTGAAGCAACAGAAAACGTTTTCCGTCTTTGCCGGATAGCCTGATATAAACACCAGAGGGTGTTTGAAGAATTCGAGATAGTTATACTTGCTAAAGTATAACCTTCCAGAATAGGCCTTTTGCATTAGTTGGTCACGTGATCAACTTTTTGTAAACACAAAAACAGTTCGCTTTTGGAAAATTTTGTTAGCACGAGCTGTAAGAACTTATTAAATTTGAGTGACCTGTAAATTTTCAGGCGTATATCATGTCAAAAGTAGCGATTGCAACGGCCGCCGAAAATTGGAAGGATTTTCTATGGGAAAAACAACTGCCTCCCAGTCACGCTTTACTGGTTTTCCATACAAATCCCTGTAAACTTCGAAATTTTCAAACTGTCGTAAAATATTTCCTTATCATTACGAGGCTCAAATCTCATTTTTTATTCGTAACAGGCAACAAACTTGAGCCCTTAAATGCGTAAGGGAAAGATTCAACGACAGTTTACAAATTTCAAAATTTAAAAGGATTTGTATGGAAAACCACTCATAAAAGTGTGACTGGGTGGCAAGAGTTGTTTTTCTCACACAAATCCCTGTAATTTTAGGAGGCCGTTGCAATTACTTAATTTTGATCTGCTCTTTGAGTTCCTGCTGACAAAATTTTCCAAAGCGAACTATTTTCGTGTTGACAGAAAGTTGATCATGTGACTAACTACATAGGCCTACCATTTTATTCGATTAAACGCCGCCCTCGATCAAACGCCGCAGATGGAAGCAAAATTCCCAATAAACGCCTCACCTAATCAGAAGAATGCGGCGTTTACTCGAGGATAATTAGAAAAACCTCGGAACAACTTGGTAATTTACACCATCCAGCAAAATGAGGGAGACATTGGAACCTTTAATTACATAATATTTACAAACGATTTACCATAAATGTTTTCGGTGATTTAAGAAAAGTAATTTCGAAATAAACGCCGCCCTCGAATAAACGCCGCATTGGAAACGCTAAAAATTTAATAAACGCAGCGGCGTTTAATCGAATAAATACGGTATTCTCAAAAACCTCGAGTGTTTTTATTTGGCCAGTATGCAAACACAGAAAAAGGTTTCTATTACTTTGCTAAAATAATGTTAGTTTAAAAAAAAAAAACAACAATGTTCGAATGTAAGACAAAGTCGGCTTATATTAATTGTCGATTAGTTGATATAGAAAATATAGTCCTTTTTTCAGTTTTCAATAACGGAATCTACTTTTTCTGCAAGATGCTGTCATTATAACGCCGTGCTGCCCTCTCAAATTCGAATTTAGTTTTGTATTGTGATTGAATGGACAGTTTTCTCCTCACAACAATGAAAACAATGGCTTTGTTTCGTGCTCTGATAAAAAGAGAAATTCCCACTAATTGCGAAGTGTCGTTCACGAAGGTTTGTACGCGTCATCTGGTTCTCGGTTTGCACATAACTGTTAGATCTTTTACCTAGGAGAGGAGTTATCAAAATATGGATTCAGTCAGTTCTCGCCCTCTCACGATTTCACAACCTGTCTCCAGTCTCTCTCTTTTAGTTTCGAAAAACCACAGCCCAATAATTTTTGGAGCATCTGTAGGGTACATTTCGTAGTTAGACAGCAGACATGCCAAGAGGTGGCGCTTGAATAGTGAAAGCCTACCACGACTTGCCACTGCCAATTAATGGGCTGACTCATTGGAATAAACCTAAATTTCACATTTCAATATGGCCGCCAGCAAACTGTGTACATGTCGACAGTGGCCTGCGAGGCAGGCGCAAAAAGGGGAGAGAGAAAAGCACTAACTCTTTTGACGACTGCTACGCAGGCTAGTCAGCAACGAAGAAGAAGATTGGTGATGATTGTCCACTGCACCAGCTTTAAAATGATACGTCACTTATAACACGCAGGAAATTTAATGCATCTGACTTTTTCCACTTTTCAGTACATTTCACTACTTTTCCCAGCTTTAGGTTCAGAATCTCAATATTTTTGCCTCTTGGGGGTTTGTAAGTCTGCTGAAAATCAATTTTCATCCTTTCTTACTACTTTTTTACAAAGGACTTTTCGACTTTCAAACACCGAGAGAAATGGGTAAAGAAAGTAAAATTGACGAGTTTCAAGGAGGGGGGGGGATTTTTTTCAAAATTGTAATTTCGTGATCAACGCGCGCGCTGCAAAACATCAGGTGAAGCTAGGCGACATGAGATCAGGCGAATTCTCATGACTGAGTCAGAGACGGGTGAGTCATTCACCCAATTCGGCCGAAAAATTTGTATTGACATAATCACACACAAACGTTAGTTTCCAGTAATACTCCCTTAGCCTTAGCTTGCGAATACAGTCGTTTCTCCTTGCTCTTAATTCTCGCCAATTAGAAGCTTACCTAGCGGCAAGGAAAAACGGCTCTATTTGCAAGCTACCTTAGTATATATATATAGCCTTTTCTGATACTTAAAGTCGAACCTCCACTAACGGCCACCACTCCACAACGGCCACTTTCTTCTGCCCCGAATGTTCGTTGTGGAGAGGTTCAACCATAAAATGGAACAGGAAACCCCCACACCCCCTTCGGCCCCCAAATCAAGGGTGAAGCCGCGCGAAGAGGAAAACTCGCCATTTTCCAATCTTTAATTGTGGGGATAGGGGTCTAAATTTTCCATTTATTTTTCTCCAAGATTACTGGGAGCAAGCTCTCCATTGGTGGAGTCGCGAAAAGTCACGCGAGACGCGAGTGCGACGGGCATTCCCAGATTCTCTCTCGCTCCGCAGAGACGGGTAGGAGAGACCCCTGGGAACGAGGGTGAGGAAAGAAAGGAGAGCCTGAAACGATCTCTCAAAAATTTTCATTTCCACTCTGGAAACAACGGGAAACCGCAAAGCGTGAAAAACTGTCCCTAGACTGTGAGCAGTCCCTCTTCAGTCAGTCGAGTCTAAGCTTGGCGACAGTCGCTCGTGTGACCATCTTGAGGGACTGCTCGCAGTCTAAACTATTCCGGAAAAATTTGTTTTTTACAATCACTCCGAAAGAAATGTCGACACTCTGTGAATTATGCATGACCATTGGTGTTCGCCATCAACGTCCGCTGTAAAACGTTGCGGGCTTACGTCCATAACAACAAGATGTTTACGATCGAGGAAGGTTGTAAGAGTTTTACGTTTTAAAAGGTGATGCCCGCTAAAAAGAAAGGTAAAAAGAAGGGAAAGGGAAGTAGCAAAGGTGAAAATGAAGGAGAAGAAGGAGGAGGTAGGCCTGAACCGACTGGAAAGGAACAGGAGCTTAGAAAAGAGTGAGTATAAGAAGCAAGCTTTGCGTGGGGGCCGTCAATCAGTTGATGAAAAAACTACCTTATTTATACTTAATTTCGCGATTCTGGTAAGGAAGTATTTCGCGGGGTTTTATTTTCGCGATTTTAACGCGCAGATATGAAGAAAGGGATTAAATTTCGCGATTTATGCATTCTCAACTTCATTTAAAAAAGAAAGTGTGAACCTTCAAAATTTTTAGATCAACTGGAACAAGGAATGCGTGAAATTTTTCCAAACTAACGTTATTTCACGATTGAAGATACAAAATGGGCTTGCCACTAAAACCAGTTAGCAATTTGTGTTTGTCGATACATAATTATCTTGTATATAATAATATTATTTGTTGACTACACACTAGAGCTTCAGGTACTGTGTAATGTAAGTGTACTTGGAACCTACTTTGAGTGTGAAGGGGTAAAATGTAATTACTTCAGCATTACTTGGTGACCATGGAAATGATTGTAGTTCAAACAAGCTGAAGTTTGCCGCCAAGCATGGGCAACACCACACTTGAGAAGACACTTGTCTGATAAGAAATGGAAGCCATGCATATGCACGATGTGCATGTGCAGCGGTTCCAAGGTTTTAATGAACAGAGAGATTGACACCTTTTACCTCAAATAATATACTTTGTCAACAAGTGTGACGCTATTTTTTCTACAGAATGACTTAAGATCTCCAAGTGCACTTGAATGAAGTGCTTACTTGAAACCAACTTTGCTTCTAGTGTGAAGCCAACAATAATTGTTGCTATTACCTGTTAAGCTTAATTGTCATTGGGTATCAATTTTGCGAGGATTTTTTTTGTTTGCATAGAGCCAATGAAACTAACATGTGATTAGGCGGTCCTTCTTTATTTTTTCTTTGGCAATGAGGTAGAAAAGGAACACCTGATACATTTACATTACCAGCCCTCAGCCTGTTAAGTCCAGAATGATTGGTTGTTATAACAAAACAGTCTTTGAGTGCAGTCCTGATTGGTTACATGATAACTTGTCTGACTTCCGGTGTAACAGGCCTTTGGCATTAGTTGACCACCTGATCAACTTTCGGTAAACACAAAAACAGTTCACTTTTGAAAAATTTTGTTAGTAGGAACTGAAAGAGCGTATCAAAATTAGGTAGCCTGTAAAATTTCAGCCATATGTCTCAAAAGTAGCAATTATTGCAATGGCTGAAGAAAGTTATAAGGAATTGTGTGAGAAAAACAACTCTTGCCACCCAGTCATGCTTGAGTGGTTTTCCATTCAAATCCTTGTAAATTCTGAAATTTTTAAACTGTTGTTACATCTTTCCCTTACGCATTTAAGAGGTCAAAGTGCCTGTTACGAATTAAAAGGAGATTTGAGCCCAGTAATGCTTATGGAAATATTTCATGACAGTTTGTAAATTTCACATCGATAAAACCTTAGAATAAAAAATAAACATAGTAAATTCTTTATTTTGTTGGCACGCAACTCTATTAATGTTCATTCAAACACTTGACCAGTCAGCTCAAACTGCAGAAGTTAGAAAAGGCTGGCCGCATAGGTGATTTTGGAATTTTTTTTATAACGGTTTAGCTAAGCCCACGCATGCTTCAATCGTCCAGAATATTGAATGTGTGTACCATTTGTATTGCAAAATTGTGAAAATACTGCATCCTGTCCGAGGTCTGTATGATAAAAACAGTGCCTCATGGTACTGTTTCACCTCAGATGTGATGTATAAATGGTGTAAAAGGTTGGTTTACACGCACCCAGATTTGTTGGCAAGATTTTGTAAAGTAAACTTGTCGAATGCAAAAAATTCGGCCTGATTTTTTTTTCCAGGCCTAATTAATCTACGGTGGCCAAGAGCCATTATGGCTCTTAAATGTGATTGAAGATGATTGCTGTTTTTTGGTTGTACATAATTATGTACCACCTCGATGTAAGATTTGCTTCACCCTTGGGCTGTTTGTAAATTATTTTTCTCCAAAATCACTTAGCCTTTCCCTCAAAAGTCACATGAATGTGCTCTAAAGTTAACTGATTTGTGGAATACAAGTTTACTGTTTGATTTAGATTATAAATTTATTAATGAGAGCTTTGCTTTTAGCCCTGGCTAAATCTATATGTTATGCTCTTTCAGCTCCTGCTAACAAAATTTTTCAAAAGCAAACTGTTTTTGTGTTTACCGAAAGTCGATCACGTGATCAACTGATGCAAAAGGCCTATTCAAAACACAAAGCTATTTATAGAAGTTGCAGAGGAAGATACAAACAGCAACTCTTCTGCTGCTTTTGTCTCCTTAAGTCTTTATGCACAAATCCTCAAAGGAGGAGCAGAGGGAATGCACCCAAAGAGTCGCTTGCTTGAAATAAGTTGTTTTAGCAATTTGGCAATCTTCAGTTAGTAACAGCGCATTTTACAGGGTCCTTCATACAGTCACTTGTCACATTTTGATCATCATTTTTTTTATCAGTTCTCACTGGTATTGGTGAATTATGAAGATTTCTGATGTTCCATTGAGTTTTGTCTCTGAATTCTTTGTTTCTATTGTGTAACCAAATGAATGGCACGTATAGTTAAGTATAAAGATTTGTAAGAATAGCACTGCTTAATTGAAATTTAGTATATCATCCCTCCTTTCTAAGCCTCATGAATTTCTGACCTATCTTAAAGCAAGATACATGTACAATGGTGTTGACAGGTACACTGTATTATAGCATCCGAGGGGCAGCAGTCATGACTTGTAAAGTTCTTTGCTACAATGTAATTATGTATTAGGCATTACCTTTTTTCCCTTTGTCTGTCTGCCAAAATTCGCCCTTAAAAACAAAAAAAGTATGCATGATTGCAGGAGTCAGAACAAAAGTTGTTCCTTGAATTTGACTGTTTTTTCAGTTGGATTATGTAGAACACGTAATCATTATGCAAAAAAATATATAATTATATATATATTCCATATGTAGACAAGTAATCTGTGTTATAATATTACAGGCTTGAAGTTTTAACAGAAAAGTTATCAAATTTGAAAAGAGAGGTGGAGGAACTGTATCCTAAAGTAAATGATGTGATTTGTCTCTAATTACTAATATACATGTAGCCTCACTGCAGTCTAGCTCTTTTTATGTATGAGGACTTATCTAGAGGTTTATTTGTGTTTCTTCAGTTCTGTGGAGCAGGCTAGATGGATGTATTGATTAATAAGTTAATCCAGTTCACATTGTTCATGTTTGTATCTATAAACATCGGTGCATGACCTCAGTAGCCCAGTTGGAAGAAAGCTAGACTGTTGACAAGGGAAACTATGCTTAGTTAAAATGTCAGCAAAATTATCATTAGGCAAGGCACATATTATATTTATAATGTTTTTTGTTGTCACATTTTCATTATTAGTTGCAACTCTTGAAACCCATTACTGTTTACACATTGGTCATCAGTAGCACTTTAATTTTCACTCCAGAGTTGACTGTCAGTTCTGTTATTGTCTCACAGTGCTACAGTAATTGTACAGCTCAACAATCTTTATTTATAAGAATTTAACAATATGTGACTTACTGACTAGTTGGTTAAATTAAGTAAAATCCAGCTTATGCTTTTTTGAATAAAGATAATAATCTAATCTGTAGACACTAGCACTTTATAAAATATATGTGCAACTTTTTTAAAATACAAAAAGATTTTACCGTCATGAAGGTTCTTAACAGATTTAAAACAGAAGAAAAGAAAATGAATGGCTACAAGAAGAAGCACATCAAACTAGACTGGAAAGTGTGAGTATTGTTTATATACATGTTGCAGTTAATTTTTAATTTCAGATAATTTTTGTTTTTCCTTTGTTTCAAATTAATTAGCATATATTAGCATGCCCAGAAACAATGGAAAAATAAGAATTACCTGAGATGAAGAATTAACTACAAGATAATTTATATACACTGTACATTGTATTTCAATCAGAAATAATGGACAATAGGCTCATGAACACCTTAAGTGAAGTTCATAAGCGTACGGGCAAGGGTGGGGGGGTGGGGGTTTGGGGGGGCTGTAGCACAGAGTAACTCAGATTTTTGGGCGCAGCAAGAGAAATTTGGGCAAAGTCAGTTTTTAAAGAAGTTTCCAAATCTTTTTATTATTTCGAAGAGATAGATATTTTCCATTTTAACCTGAAGTCAGCGTGGTGAATTTAGTTATATTCACGCGAGACAGTGGTTGCCTAGCACGTGATGAGTTTCTGTTTATTAGTGAAGGGTATCATGTTGATTTACATATTTGTAGTTTTTTATTGTTGGGCACTGTGCTGCACTGCACTAGCTGTTGTGGGGTGTTTCCAGTCTTGAATTGATTAGAATCAACTTAGGCATAACTTTCTAGAATCATCTCCGCTCGACATAACCATTTACACCCAATTCTGGTGTCGGAGTGACGAAAGTTTCAACAGCGTATGGCGGATAGCATCAGCAATGGGTCTGAAAATGAAGAAGTGGCTGACCAAATTATTCTCAGTTTGAATTTCGAGAAGCTAGGGCACTTAGACAAACGCCATCGCGCTGCCTTCAAGCTCTTGTAGGTGAACACGCGCAAAGACAAATGCAGCTAACACCAGAATCGCACCACCGTATAGCCTGCATCACAGACGTAATTAACCTCCGTTAGTAAGGTCTGCGAAGCAGGGCAGATGTCCTTGTTCTGGCCCCCAACGGAGTGGATGAATTACCGTTAGTGCGTTTCAAATTTCCTTTCATCCTGATTGGCAAATCGACAGTGGCTTTTTTAAAAGGCCAATCATGGCACGTACTCAAATCCTGGTACACAAGTGTAGGCCCAGAACAAGGATTTCGGCGCTGTTTCGCAGACGAACATAACCAGAGTTTAGTTTTGCCTGTGGCGCAGGCTTACCACCGTACTATGCATGACTATGCGTCCATCGACGAGGTGCTGTCCGAGCTTGAGCTCAGGTTTAGCGGAAATGATCAGGAAATACTGTGTTCTTTGGGAAACTTCTGTCACAGTGAAACACCTGTTAAACAAAGCTTGAGTTTTCCTGCATTGCTAAATTGTAGAAAATCGACGGCGAGATTTTCGAAGCCGAGCAGACAATATACGCGAGGTTTCGTCGTGTGCACGGATTAGGCTACATGACTGTTCCAGAAATGCTGGAGGCAATGCACGAGAATGATCTTTTTTTCTGGTGTTTTCTAATGTGGTAGTTATATCCTTACAATGATACCTGCTACATTATGTTCTGCAGAACGATCATTCAGTGCGTTGCGCAGATTGAAAACGTATCTCCGCAGCACCATAGGCAACAATGTGTCAGTAACATCGCGTTTATTAACATTGAAAGGGCATATGCCAACTCTTTAGTCAACAATGATACAAATGTATGGATCCTATCATTGATATCTTCGGCCATCAAAATGGCAAAGACAGCTATTTCTTTTAACGTGTTTTATGAGCTCAGATGATAGATTCATCTGGAAGAACACTTTCACTTCATATGTATGCCTATGTTGATGCATCGACTGTTTCGTAGAAATTTGGGCAACTTGCGAGAATTTTTTGGGCAAATAGTTTAAATCCTGGCAAAAAATTGTCCGTACGCCTATGATGCAGTTTTATGAAATGGGGATCAGTAAGCCCCAGGTCATGTTGGTAGAAACAACACACATACAGCGCAATGCAAATCCCAGTGCCATTTTTCCTATTTGCCTGTCAACTGTACAGATTAGTGACAGCCATGAAAGTACATTACATCTTTTTTATGTACAGTAGTTGCATTTTCTACACTCGACCATGTTGCAAAGTTAATTAAATCAGAAAAACGTGATTAAAGCAGGTTTGGTCATCCATCGATATTTTAAAATCTTACAACTGAGAACACATCCTGTAAGCAGTCCATTATTTGTCTTCTTGAGTGAGGAGGAGAAAAGGAGGCTTAGCCTGAATCATGTCAAGACCTTGAAATCACTGCAGAAGCCTGATTTTCAGGACTAGTCAATCTTGTTCTCTATTATCAAACTGGCTTTCTGAAAGTGAATCTCTATAACTGAGCCCACTGTATTAAGGACACGGCTATTAGGCCTGGCTTCAAAATGGTATCCCAGCAACAAGCAGCACTTGCTCAGCTGTTACATGTACTTGATTCATGCAGAGTCTTCCTTGAGTACCCCAAAATCAAGCAAGTGAATGAAAGGCTCTGCTTGCAGGGTGCTGATCATGAGAACAGTGCGATGTCTTTCAACATTAACAAAATTATGGAAAGGGAGCATATCAAGCAAGTCCAAGTGTGAAATCCAGTGCACCACCAACTTTGCCTTAATCATACATGTATACGAGCATTTTTAAAATAATTATACTGAAAGAAACCCCTTAAATCAGTGGTTATGAGGAATGTCCCCCTCCTTGCAACGTGTTGATTCTTTTCCATGCTACATGTAATTATAGTATGTATTTGAAAAACAAAAATATTACAAATTAACATCTTTATCTCCCAAACCTGCTCTTAGCATGAGTACATGTCATACATGGCAAAGAAGACGCAGAAGAGACAGACAACAATAATATCTCTTAGTGACAGTAATCAGCAAGAACTAGAGAACATCAAAAAACAAAGAGAACAGATGTTAAAGGAATATCAAGACAAGAAGCAAGGTAAAGGCTTATTTTACATAAGCTAAAAAAAAATTATAAGTAATAATATGAAACTCCACAAACTGGCCGATCAGTGAATAACACGTAAAAATGTCTGTTTTAAATTTGTATTTGCGCAGTTCACGTCACCATTCTCATGTTCCATTCCTTTCACGGGTTAAGATGAAATCAACAAATCTGCCTCCTCAATTGGTTAGAGCACTGCAGCGCTAACGCTGACGTCATGGATTCAAATCCCATTGAAGTCCCGAAAATTTTTTTCGGTTTAATTTAATTTTTGCAATTGCTTAAATTGCAATTACCACTGCGACGATCATATCTTCATATAAATAAACCAATCATTGTTAAACAGACTGTTGTGAAGCCTCACTCGATTTGGTCAAACCGTCATTATCTCAAAATTTTGCTTAGTCATGTTGAGACCATCTCAACAAAGAAATTAATGGTCAATGAGTTACTAGCCTGCACCATAGACGAAACTAACCTCTGATCTGGTTAAGTACATTTTCAAAACAGCGCCGACATGCTTGTTCTGGGCCCCGCCAGCTGTGTACCAAGATTTGAGCATGCACCAGGATTGGCCTGTTAAAAAAGCCGTCGTCTATTTGCCAATCAGGTTGAAAAGAAATTCCAAAAGCACTCAGAACAAGGGTCTCGGCGCTGCTTCGCTAGCCTGAGTATCAGGCCTTCCTAAGGGGCTAGGGGAGAAGAGATTTTAGATGGGGTGGGCGGGGGGGGACGGGGGAGAAGAGAAAGTTCTCTCTCTTTTTCGCTTCCATCTTCCCCCTTTTCTCCCAGAAACGCCTGATATTCAGGCTACTGCTTCGCAGAAGTTGCTAACGGGGATTAAATTAAGTCAACAACGCAGGCTAATGAAAAACTGTGAAAGGTTTGAACCCAGGAGTCATTTCAAAAGTAGGTTGAGTTTGATCGTCCGCGTGAACGTAGTCCTGAATAGGAATGTTGTTGTTGACAGTGACTCAGGCTAATGAGTTACATGTATGTGACCAATGAACTTAATGTTGACAAGAATTTAACAAACCCTAAAAGGTTGAACTTACGCTTACCCATAACATTGGGTCTTATGTTCATGGTAATATTGTTCAAACCACTTGACTACTGGCTTTATCTTTAAGCATCTTGTTAGATGTGGGAGAGCCGCGCAAAATTTGGGTGGATCCAGTGATTTTGTTACAAATAGTTGTGGTGAGTTCTGGGACTCATTTTGTGAAAAATCATGTGTCCCAGTCCATAACCAATGAGTCCCAGTTCAAAACAAAAGGAGTCGTGTTTGGGTCTTTATAGCTCTTTATGTAACCGGACAGTTCATCTGGAGGCAGTTCTCTGAAATTGAAATATAGTCCTTCTATACGTTTAAAGTACAAAAAAGACCAATAAAATAAATATGTATCTTTAAACAACAGCCACAGCAATCACACGAACAGGATATTCTACTAAAAAATCTTCAAATCGATCGATCCTTCTTTGTGTCCTACGGGACACATGCAATGAACTATTTTGCGTCTTTGAAGGGGTTTTTTATGCATCAGGGACCCAGGACGCAGAGGTAACGAAATCATAGGGGATCGCTGAGCCAAAGCTAAAAACACCCGCAGTTAAATCGACCAAGAAGCACTAAGTTCTTTGTGTCCCTTTCGTCTTATCCAACCTTTGTAAGTTTTGCTTGTATTATACGTCTTTGACTGATCCAGAGAATCCTATTCTTTAGCTTTAAAGCAATTGCTGCTTGAAAAGGAGGCTGAACTTGCTCTGACAAACAGTGAACTCGCAGAATTGGAAGAGTATCAGGTAGGCAAAATACAAATTAACTTTGTCTGATGCTTTATAACTTGGGATATCTTATGTAAAATAATTAAGACTGTGAGTTCCATGTAAGTACAGTTAGGGCTGTCAATAAGAGCTGGTAGCCGGCCAAAACCGTCGGCTAGTTAGCCATCGCTTGCCGGCTTATACTTTCTATACTACCATAACTGCTTACAAAAAATATGCAGCATCGAATAAAATTGTAAAGCATTCGTTTCCCAGTTTTGAATGACATTTGAACGCATATTTAAACAGGTTGAGATTTCTGAAACCTTCGAACCGTACGATGTCGTGAAACGCCTGGGACATTTCGACGGCACAGTTCCCAGTCTTGTTTGTATTCTGCCGAAATATCATGGCGTCCGCGGTGGAAATTTGAAAATGTCCCTAGATGTCTCGGCCCTCAAGAACTTGTGCCTTTAATGCGAGTTCCAAAGCCGCCTACTTTTCATCTGATCAGCCTGCTACTTAAAACCTTTTCGACAGCCCTGAGTAAATAGTCAATTTGCGATAGAACAGACCATTCATTTCCATTTCCGAGTTGCCTTAAGTCTCTATCTTAAAGCGAGGCTAAGTCAGCAAAGCCATTGATATGAAAGTGATGTTTCCTTGTCATGCGAAGAAACCTCAAAAGAAGAAAGGTTACGCACTTAGCCTTGTCTTGAAAGTGAGAGTTTTTTGGAACTTGAAAATGGCCTACATATTGGCCCACACTGACTATATTCTTATCACGCCCCTCTTCCATGTGAAAGTTAAACGAATTAGCTTCTCAGTGTTGATTATCAATGCATTCAACCCTCGCAGGCAAGCTTTATCTCTTAACTCTGAGTCAGTTTTGTTGCGTTTGTACATGTAGTGTGACTGCTCATTTCACAATAAACTTTTTGATACATGTTTGCTTGTCAGACTCTCCAGCGTGACCAGAAGGCAGAGATTGCACGGCTAGAGCAGGAGGTTCACACAATGCGAGGAAAGCATTCTGAGGCAATCCAGAAACTGAAGTCTCAGTTCCTAAGAGAGAAAAGAACTTATCAAAAGGAATCTGATGAAAAGATACAGGAAATGGCTCAACAGGCCTCACAGGCGAGTACTTGTGCAAACTCTTAAACAGGTGTACGCTTGTAGTACAACGGGTTGAAACATAAAACTGCCCCTGAAATAAAGATAGGAAATATACAAATGAAGGAAACGTGTTTCTTTTTAGCCGTAAGGTTTGAGTGACCTTAATCTCAGTGGTTTGATCGTTCAACCAGTTTTGTGGTAAGTGACGGGTTCGGATCTTGATGGGGATACTGATTATTCCTACCTGCCACCACAGGCGTTAGGCACAATAAATGCAGAGCGGAAGGGAATGAATAGCGGGAGAGAAGAAGAGGGAGAGGAGCGAACGGTGTGCCGCGTTCTTTCGCCCTCTCTCCATCTATCTGTTCTCCACTAACTGAACGCCCGGAACCGGCCTTGCTCGTGAAACGCAATGGAACGTAAGAAGAAAGAACTTACTTACATGTTTTTAAAAACCAGTTAGAATGATATTGTCCACTCAGACGCCCGTGGGTATCAGATCTACAGTTATGTTCATGGTGGATCAGGGTCGGTTTTTTTTTTTTTTCAAAATGGTTGAAATCCAAAACGATCGTTCACTTGCCTCCCTTTTTCCATAGGAAGCCAAGCAGTGTTTAGATGAGCATACGCGTAAGATAAAAGAAGAAAATGGAGTGTTGCGTAAAGAACTTTTACAACTAATCAAACGAACACGAGCACTTCACGAACATCGCCGAGAATTAGAGGAACAACATAAGCGACTTCTTCGTGAACTGCAATACAGTAGGGATCTGAAAAAACTCAGGGGATCCAGGCAGAATAGACTCCATAAGAACTTTGGGATAAACGAAGAAATGGAGGAAAACAAGCAAACTTGATGAGATGGACAAGACGAGGCATCTTACACTCTAAGCCTTACCTTTTATGCAGTTTGTATTACGGGGTGTCCCAAAAGTTCGTTCCTCTAATTTCCTACGTTATAACTTTTAATCAAAACTTCATTTTTACATGAAATTTCTAAAATATGTTTCTTACTCTATCGAGTACTTGTGTTCAGAAGTTCAGTTACCGGCATCCCCCCTTTGTTTTTTTGTCACACCTTGTAGCCGTTGCGGCATTAAGTGAGATAAGCCATGTAGCATGAAGAGCCCTATGATGATTCATTTTGAGCTTTTTTATCACCTAGTATGCAGGAGTCACTTCGTCCCCCAAACAATATAATTTTTTAGATAAGGCAGCTGAAACAATATATTTTGGGCATTGATCCAAGAAAAGATGATCATTCCGTCCCCTTTCCACAGTGAGGCTTTTGTTCTTCTTTACAAATTTGAGACGAGCTGAACGTTGCTTGGCGGACGGCGCTGGCCGGGAGTAAAGTTTTTTTTGCCATCTCAGGGGTCTCCAAACTTTGCTTTTCATGAACCTACTCCAGACTTAACTTGCTAAATGTTGTAAGATCTACTTCGCTGGGTTTCCTGTTTTGTACATGGCCTTCTTTAAAACTATTTCAGCACTTTCGGTCTTCCCTTTCGTTTCTTGTCTGTAAAACCTTCATTTCTTTATGACCATCTTACCACCCAACATTCGGATTTTTCCATTTTTTTAGGAATTTCTTTAACTGACAAGCCAGTAGATAGAAATACATGCTTCTGCTCGCACGTAGGTGAGTGTTTTTTTCGTTGAGAGGGTTTATCTTTCAGGACACAAAACAAGTTAGGAGCTCGAGCATTTCGGGCTACAAAATGCAAAAAATATATGGCGGGAAAATTTACTCGCGCAGCGCACCTTTGGCGCGAAATTACACAAATCGAATTTCGAGTCAAAAGATGGCACAAGAAGTATGAATATTAAATTAGATTGAAAGTCACAACTTTGGTTTAAATTATGTGCTGATCAAGTCCAATCGTACTGCGTTACAGACTTATAAAGGAGAGGAACGAACTTTTGGGACACCCTGTAGTCTCATTTGGGCCATTGAGAATGGATGAGTTTCTTTTTGAGTGTCGCCAAGATAGTTGCCATGATTCATTAACTAAACACTAGCCTGTACACAGACGTTGTTTTATTTTTCTTTTCGTTCTTTTCGAAAACATCGGCGAGCGCGGAGCGCAAGAAAGAAAAATAAAGAACTGTTTTCCTCCCCCACCCCTACCTCCTCGCGCTGGCGATCAATAAATCCCGCGCGGTTATTATTTTTTATCACGCGCACTCGACGGACTTTGAAGAGAAAATAGAGGGTCTGTAAACAGGCTAACTAAACACAGGCCCAAAGAAGAAGAAGAAGAGAATTCTGTGCACCCTCTATACAGCACATGTATGTAACGCACGATTTTTAACATCATTTCTGCTTTAGACTGCAAAACAGTGAGGTTTTTCCTCAAAATCGGTTTAGCGTAGTATAAGAATAGCGTTAGAGTCGCTCCAGACCCTTTTTTTGACTGTTCGCGCGCACTTGAATAGGCGAAAATACGGACTGTTTTGCAGTCTATTTTTGCTTTGAACAGGTGTAAAGCGAACAAGATAATTTTTTTCCCGAACATTCATAGTGCTTCACTGGTCAAGTTAACGAGCGGTCATTTTTCTCCGTGCTTTGTTGATTATGTCCTATATAGGCTTTTTTCACGGGACTTTTTTGAGCCTTGGATGTATAAAGAATTTGAAAACATTTTCCCGAAAGGATAAAAAAAGCAAAGAAATAAATATTATTTTCAAACGCAAACTTTGCCTCAATTTATTTAACTATGCTTGTTTCTGTGAAATCTTTTTTCTTCTAAAAGAGCAGACTGCTTCTTTTTCATACCCGACTGTTGGTTTCCAGCGAAGCGACGTGGTTCATTTTTGGGAACTAAAGGCTTTTATTGTCATTGCAATGATAAAAATTTTACAATATTAAAAGATATATCCTAAGTAAACAACACGGTCTACTATAAAACCATAACCACCTGATAAAAATACTGTCTACTACAACTACTTTAAAATTCATACTAAAACTAATCTTAAAATTTGCGCATTCCTCGCATTTACACTAAAATCATCTAAAAGGTCAGCATTCTTGTGAAAAGGGGTTCTAGACCCTCAAACAGGTGTGGACTGATCTTAGAATTTCAAAAGATATGCGTGTTCTAAGCCAAGATATCGCACTGGAATAAGACTCGCCGTCCTTTTGCGAAAGTTTGTCCCCTAGGCTGCTCAGGTCAAGTTTGTATTCTTTCCCCATCCCCCCGGTTCGTCCAAAAACCAGGGGGGTAAACGATTTCCACGTCAATAACTCTTTGTTGGTACTTCCTTTTGATCTCTTTCTCATGCTCCGCGGAGGTCGATGGTTAGGGGTTGAGTTCAGATGCGTAACACGTACATCGAAGAATGCTGCTCCTCCTCGTGACCAGAAACTTCCTGCCTTTATGTCTAGTCTAGCCTCACGCCTAGCCTTAAGGCTTGTGACTGGAGATCTGGATCTGGAGGTGGGGCTCTACCTCGACATTCTTGCAGACTTGGCTGAGCAGAGACGTGAGAAGGTTTCGGATGCCATCGTGTCTTTGTGCAACAAAACCCCCCTTCGTACACGACAGGGCGTGCCTGACTGTGAATCGATCTCCAATCTCGACACGCGCAATGGCTCGGCAAGTCTGCTAGTTGCAGATTGTAACGCAAGCGTAGCGAGTCCCTGAATTGTTTCTTATTCAATGTCAGGCCCTGCTCCTCAAAGGGTACGGCGTTAAGCCACGAGCTTGCACCGTTGTCTGTGGCCTTCATTGTTGACCTTGGCAAGTCCGGTGAGAGAGATGCATCAATGGCCTCTCTTCTCAAATTCGCTGCCCTCGTCTTGAGCGACTGCTGTTGTCGTTTCAGGTCTTCCACAATTTGCTCACCGACTGGCATGAAAGTGCCCTGCGTTCGTATAGCTCCTACATGCGGAACTGTTATTAACTTTGAAGCAGCGTACTGCTATGGGGCTTCAGGTTTCAGGTCTGTTATACCTAGAACCCCATGTGCTGGCGGTAGGGTGAATAGTTCTCGCAACTCATTAGGGAGCGGTTCCGTCTGACCAAAGATTCATTGGTGGAGAGGGTAGCGCGCAGATAGCAAGCTGGATTGTAAAGAGTAAGGCGTCGTTTTTCCTCGGCCCGTCTTCGCAGTAGAAGAAGTAGGGCACGATTGCCTCAAAGTAGGCTGCATTTGTCGGTCAAAAATAATGTGGCAACTTATGGTAAAAAAAATCACTAATTTTTAAATTAATAACTATTCAGGGACCGCGGAGGGGGAGGGGTTGGTAGGGCTATAGCCCTACCACTTTTTTGCTGGCATATATTTTCTAGGGCTCCAGTTGACATGGAAAACGTTCTCGTGGAATTATTGGACTTTTCTCTTAAAGGTGGACGGTGAGAGCCAGTTGTTTTCGACTAATTCTTGAGAACTATGCAGTTCTTATGGAAGAGTGGGATGTTTGCTTGTCCGAACGATTACAACCCGATGTGCGTGCGAGGATAATAGGATGTAAGACCTAAATGGAACGATTTGACTTTTTCTTTGGTTCGCATTTTGGAGGGCAGCTTCATTCCCACACCTATAATCTATCTAAGGATCTTCAGGGTACTAAGGCGGCTGCTGTCAGTGGACAATGCAAGGCCTGGCATTGGCAAATCTAACAAAGGAGACGCTCACAAAAATGCCCAGTGATCAGAGCTTTGACCATTTCTATGCTATTATTTCCCGCAAGAGCGAAGGCCTGCTCGGTAAACCAACGCTTCCAAGAAAGCGATGCACTTCGGCCAGACTGGAGGTTGATGCTGGCACACCAAGCTAACCCCAAACTGCCAAAGATCACTTTAGAAGGGTCTATTATGAGGCTATTGATCTTATAGTCAGTGCTATCTATCAGGAAAGCTTCAGCTCCTACGCCCAGATGGACACCCTCTTGGTTAAAGCTAGTAATGGTGACGACTATGAGGCAGAGTTCAAGTTTCTTGAAGCATCATACAGAGAAGAGGTTGATACAGGCTCACAACCCGGGCATGCAACTAAGTATTTTGGAAGTTATGTTATAGGAGAAGATAGCATGTTTTGACGAAATCCTGAAGGCGGTGTCAAAGTTTCCAAAACCACAAGAGAAGCTAATTCAGGATAGAGCCCAAACTATCTGTAAGCTGCCTCCTGTAAATTCTGCAACCAGCGTTGCTGGCGAGCGTTCATTCTCATCTGCACGGCATCTAAAGACGTGGCTTCTATCCAGGATGTAGACTACGAGTAGTCCCCCATTTTTCCTCAGGGATAGTAGAGCGAGCGAAACGCGAGCGCGCGTGAAAATGACCCCACGCGAGAAAAGGCGACACGCGGCGGGGAGAGAGAAAAATGAGGGACTACAGACAAAGCCCAAGCTTTTGACCCTTCACGGCCGACTGATTTCGGAGTGTGAAGTTCGTATCCCCTTCCAAATCAATTAAGCGCATCCAATGGCATTCCTTCCCTAATTGAGCTGTCATTGCTCTTGTCATCGGTAAACTGCGGGGGATACTTATTGCAAGCAAAAAAACCCAGATACTAATTTTCTTCACGGTTGAGATTATGTCGAGTGTTGATAGCGGCTGGCGCGTTTTTGACAGATGTTGACAGATTTCCATGGAAGAGCCAATCAGAGTTTTGCGTTGTGAGAGCAACAGGAGGGCATTTTGCATACGCATGCGTGAATCCGCTGAACGACAATAGCGTGGGCGCATCAAATCTGATGGCGGGAAATCGAAAACTCGCGCGTAAAGTTACAGTCCTTTTAAAAGCCATTTCGTTGGTGCCTTGAATACCGCTTTTTCCTACAAAAAATATTCTCCATGACAAAAATCAGACGTTTTCTACGCGGGTTTTCACTTGTACATTTTTCAGCAGTAGGTTTTCTTGGCCTTTTAAAGACTTTCAAGACTCAGCGCCAAAAAGTCATGTTCCTGTATAAGTCTGATTTTTACTGGCAAAGCAATGCATTTCTATGGTTTGATTTCCGAACTCGTGGTTTTACATATCAGGGAGGAAAAGCGTCGTAGCGAAGTTCAGCTGCTTTAAGACAAAAAGCGAGGCGCAAGGTTTATTTATTAGCGCGATGTCTCATGTTAAACTGATCGCGAAGACAAGCGTTTATATATGCCATTAAAACGTGAAATCTATGGGGTTTTTACAGTTTTCCGAAAGCTTTCGCGGAAAAATTTATAAAAAATATTCTATACGATATGAAGAATGGATTGAGTTTGAGACAGCAACAATTACAAGTGATTATGTGGAACATAATCACTTGAGCATTTCATAAGCTCAGTTGCAGACAAAACGAATGCACATACTCCGAAAAAACGAACAGTATTTCTATTTTTTTTTTAACCCTAAAAGATATAGAGATTTTTCCTCAGCTACTATTTTGAAGCGACTCTTGAGTAACAGGTCCCGTGCTCCACAATCGATTTCTTGTTACTAATTTATATTTGATGACAGTAGTGATCCATTCAAAACAGAGAATGGCCATCACTCCAAAAATCTAAATGACAATGTTGTTCACCTTCAAAGCCTGTTTAAACATAAGATAGGAAGTTTGTTAAAGGGGTGCATATAATGCTGTTTCCTCAAAAAATAAATACTTCTGCTAAAGGACCCAAATGAGCTGGGATGCGATAACAAACATGACACAAATGGATGGATGAATTTGTCTGTTATTTAATGTTTCTGTTGAAAGCTTTTTACTGTATCCAGATGAACCCCTTATGTAAGTTGTACATCATGGAAGAATTATCAAGCAGAAACTGATGCATTAAACAAGAATGTGGTTCAATACAGAGGAGAAGCTGGCCTCAGTCAACATCCTTCGTGAATGAAATGTTTCACAAATTAGCATATCAACAAATGTAGTAGCCACAAAATGGTATCATTTAGGAATAAATGCGATTTTTTTGCAACAGAAGCGAGGGTTTATTTACAAGGAGTATTGATAACGTTTCATTTCGTGCTATTTTGGGGTTGGGGAGTTAGCCTAGATTTTCTTTAAAACGCCAAAATGAAATGCATAATGAAATGTAAACAAACAGTGTACCATCAAAATAAGGTGGAAAAAATCAGAATTCAAACCGATTGCTGTAATTTTTTTCCTTTGTAATAGAATATTCTTATTTTCAAAACACAATCTTACTGGCATCATTATATTGATTTAAATTTATAGTGGAAGTGCGTGTATTTTATTTCTCAACGAAGACGTACCGGAGAAGAAAGATAAAATTGTTACAGAAGGCGATTTTTCACAGCCTTCATCAAAGCGCCATTCATTCGCGGAAGTATTCTTAGTTTCATTAATCATCAACTTAATCTGGTAAGTCCAGCTGTCCCACAATCTTTGGTCGAGGTTTAGCCATAGCATCCCTTAACATTAATAGTCTGTTGTCTCATATTGACGAACTTAGAGTTTTTATGTCCTCTTCAAAAATTGATATTTTACATATCAACGAGTCAAAATTAGACTCTACAGTACGTGATGACGAAGTTTACATACCTGGCTTTGAAATAGTCAGAAAAGATCGTAAAATTAACGGAAGGAATGGAGGTGGAGTATGTACATACGTACGCACTAATCTGAACTATCGAATACGTAATGATTTAAATAATGATCTTTTAGAGTGTCTTTTTGTTGAAATCAGTAAGCCACGAAGTACACCATTTCTGGTCGGTACTTGGTATCGACCCCCAAGTTCTCCACCCAATTTATTTAGCGAATTTGAGAATGTTATTGCTAAAATTGACGCGGAAAATAAGGAATTATATTTACTCGGTGATATCAACTGCAATTTGTTGCCTGAAGCAATTACAGTTAATTCCTCCCATCTGATAAACATTTTCGATATATATGGTCTTAGTCAGTTAATCACTGAACCAACACGTGTCACCCAGGACTCAAAAACATTAATTGATTTATGTATAACGAACTCCCCAGAGAAGATTACAAATTCCGGTGTCATTCACCTTGGCATAAGTGATCATTCTCTTGTTTTTTTGTCACGTAAGACTCAATACTGCCGTATTGGCCCTCGCGTGATTGAAACACGGCAATTTAAACACTTTAACAGAGGAAAATTCTTAAGTGACCTCAATCAACTACCTTGGGCCAATGTTGATTTGTATTCTGATCCCAATGAAATGTGGCATGTATGGAAAGAAATGTTTCTTGGCTGCGTCGATAAACACGCACCACTTAAATCCAAAAGAATTCGGAAAAAACGATCTCCATGGATTACTAGAGAGTTACTGAGCAAAATCCGAAAACGAGATTTCCTTAAAAAGAAGGCAATCTCCTCCAATAACCCGGCTATATGGGATCAATTTAGGTGTGCAAGAAATCAGGCAAATAACGCAATTAAACTCGCAAAAAAACTCTATGTTTCTGACAACCTGGAAGCCAACAAAGGTAATTTGCGCAAAACATGGAATGTTATCAACGAGCTAACTTCACGTAACAGTGGTAAGTCAACGAATATTTTGGAGATCAAGGTAGATGATAAAATAGCAAGTAACCCTTTGGACATTGCGGAAACTATTAACGATCACTTTACAAACGTTGCGCAAGTATTAGCACAAGATATTCCTGTTGTCGATGTTAATCCTGAGTCTTATTTAAAGCCCACTGATCATTCGTTTTCTCTGCAAATTCCGAGTGTTGATATTGTTTCTAACGTTTTGTCGAAAATTGATGAAAAGAAAGCCACCGGTCTTGATATGATTCCGAGTAAATTGTTGAAAATGGCTGCTAATATCGTCGCACCCTCTCTTACCTCAATATTCTCAAAGTCTATTCTCACTGGGATATATCCAAACGATTGGAAAACAGCCAAAGTGACTCCACTTTTTAAAAAGGGCATTAAATCGGACCCTAACAACTACAGGCCAATATCTGTAATCCCTATAATTTCGAAAGTTTTTGAAAGAATTGTTTATAATCAACTTTTCCATTATCTAGATGATAATAAATTGCTACTAGGTTGCCAATCAGGGTTCCGTTCTCTACATAGTACGCTCACGGCTTTGCTTGAGGCAACAAATGCTTGGTCAGTAAACATCGACAATGGCCTTCTAAATGGCGTTGTCTTTATTGACCTTACTAAGGCATTCGACACCATTGATCATGAGATCATCTTGCGTAAGATGTCATACTTGGGTGTCGATCAGGCAGCTATAAAATGGTTCTCGTCGTACTTAAGTGGCCGAACCCAAAGATGTAATGTCAGTGGCAAACTATCATCTGCTCGTACCCTCAGTTGCGGCGTGCCGCAGGGTAGCATATTGGGTCCTTTGCTATTTTTAATTTACATTAATGATCTTCCCAACTCCCTGCGGGGCGCCGTACCAAGAATGTTTGCCGATGACACCAACCTTACGTTATCTGCTAAGACGTTAACAGAGCTTAAGCTAGCTCTAACCCCTGAATTAAATAACCTTAGCTGTTGGCTGAAAGCTAACAAGCTCAGTCTAAATGTTGCTAAAACAGAGCTAATGATTATTGGATCAAGACAAAGACTATCTGCCCAATGTGACGATGTAGAAATCAAAATTGATGACCAAATTATCAAGAGAGTCGATCATACCAAATCCTTGGGTCTTACCATAGATGCTCAACTCTCTTGGGGTAAACACGTTGAAGAGATTTGCAAGAAAGTCTCTTCAGCTATAGGCGCCCTAAAACGTGTGCGGCCCTTTATATCCAAAGAAACTGCAATTCAAATTTATAACGCTTTAATTATGCCTCATTTTGATTACTGCAGCCCCGTCTGGGACTGTTTGAGTGGTTACTTGAGTGATAAGCTCCAAAAATTACAGAATCGTGCAGCCAGAGTTATTACTAAATCACCCTTTGATGCGAGCTCAAACCACCTTCTCTCCACCCTCAGCTGGGAGAGGCTATCTCTTCGACGAAAGAAACAAAAAGCCTTAATGATGTATAAAACCATACATGACCTTGCTCCAAAATATCTACAAAGTCTTTTCTCTCAGCGTCACTCTGCTTACAACTTAAGAAACTCTGAGGGAAGGCTGACCCTGTCCAAACCAAACACCAATTATTTGAAACGAAGCTTCTCTTACAGCGGGGCCATGTTATGGAATAACTTGCCCAAAAACTTAAAAAACGCTGCATCCGTTGAGCATTTTAAGCGAAATATCAAGAAGGTAGCTGATATATCGGATTCCCACACGGCAATCATGTAAAGCAGTTGTAATTAGTTTTAGCTTTTAACTTAAGCTTAACTGATGATTTCCCGTGTTTAAATAAAGATTTACATACATACATCTGGGGAGAAAGGCAAGATTTCGAGATAAACAAGCCAGAGAAAGGGTGAAAAACAGTTTCACGGCAGAATGGACAGTTAATTAACCACTGTATTCCTGAAACGATTAAGTTCGATTTTAGAGTTATACTATTGAGAAGAATTAAGTATCTATAGGATAATTGTTTGACGAAAAACTTTCATACTGACCTTTTCCTCCTGCTCCAAAAATGTGCGCGAAATGTTAGATGGTAAGAACATTCAGCCGCCATCTTGTCTTCAATGTTCTGTTTTACGAAAGGAAAGACTGTCCTCTCAAGGGCGACAGCGAGGCTACAATAAACTCAATTTCATCGTAGAAATACCACGATACCTTAAAGAACACGTTTGAGAAACGTAGCACCCAATACACGTCATTAAGCTCCAGAAAACAGTCTGCAAATGCAGGTACTGAACGTAAACCATTCACAGAAAATGCCTCTGTGGTTCCTCTGTGGCACTTCAACAGCCCATATTGACGCATGCGCATACAAAATGTCCTCCTGTTTGTGAGAGCAACGCATTAGTTCAAAAGCTTGGGCTTCGTCTGTAGTCCCTCATTTTTCTCTCTCCCCGCCGCGTGTCGCCTTTTCTCGCGTGGGTTGATTTTCACGCGCGCTCGCGTTTTGCTCGCTCTACTATCCATGGGGAAAAATGGGGGACCACCCGTAGTCTATCCAGGATGGGTGACCTAACAGTGCTAAATGGTCACAAGCGTAGAACAAACAGTGTCTCTATAACTACACAGGAGTTTGTTTTCCGCAATAAGAATCGCAAGAGAAGGTTCGGCACTTCGGGCAACTTCAAAAAGTAGCAACCTCAGGAGGTTTATGTAACATATTAGCTATATTGGATATTGTTATATTCCTAGACTTTCACTCAACTAAACAGGGACTGCCATTGGTTGATTCTTGGTCACGTGGCCTTGACTAAAATCAAATGNAAGATGTGGCTTCTATCCAGGATGGGTGACCTAGCAGTGCTGAATGGTCACAAGCGTAGAACAGACAGTGTCTCTATAACTACACAGGAGTTTGTTTTACGTAATAAGAATCGCAAGAGAAGCTTCGGCACTTCGGGCAACTTCAAAAAGTAGCAACCTCAGGAGGTTTATGCAACATATTGGCTATATTGGATAGTATAACACGTGTGGACGTTTTTGTTATATTTGTTGAGGTGGTATATAAGATGGCGCGCAAATGCAAGATAAATGGCGAAACACCGACCTGAATGTTTCTTTATATTGGCCAGAGTTTTTAGCCCTACCACCTTAAAATGGTCTCCGCGGTCCCTGCTATTAAGTCTGAGATACTACATGCTCCAATTGTTAGCTTGATTAATGATAAGCGATTGACGTCCTTCATGTCAGTCTTTTGAACCCAAAAGTCGGCAAAGAATTTTACAACTTTATACTTACATCATTTCATAGACATCAATAATCAATAATCAAAAATTGTCCTAAGCACGTCGGTTACAATAAATCTTCGTTCGAATTTGGTTCGAGATGTTGTTATTAAAGGCCAAGAGACTCTTACGCTTATTGCAGTTTCATACAGTTTTAAAAAAAAAATGTGCGTACCTATGAAAAATTTCAAACCGGGAACTCTAAAAGGTCGCTTCAAAACAACAGGTTATTGTTCTAATGACGGATCTGCAGCTTTTGAATAGCAATAGCATTTTCTTTAATGTCCCGATGAGTTGACCGCGATCGATTAAATAGACTTTTTGTTATTCGTACAGATTATTCCCGCGCCCCTCCCCGCCGGTAAATTCAGCACACAAGCGATGGAGTCATGGTATTAGCAGGTTTCTCAATAACCCTTAGTGACCCCTCTTTACTTGGACTCCTGGTACACCTGTCGAAATGCCTCCTGAAATGACACTCTTGTGGATTAAACTCATTCCTTCACTCTAGTATTAAGACAATGACAGCAGGAATTAGGGCTGAATTTATTTTTTTTCTTGTTTTTATGATAAATATATCGCTAGCGACGCACATGAATATATTTAGAGAACAATTTGACAATGAAGACGACAAGGAGACACAGAGGCCCATCATAGGTGAGTGTGATGTTTGCTTTAAACGGTGTTTTGTTGTCCTTTCCACGTACTGTACGTGTTCTTATTAACTGATTTGTGGCTTACAAGTTTACCGTTTGATTAAAAATTATAAATTTATTAACTGGAGCTACGCTTTTAGCCCTGGCTAAATCTTTATATTATTGTTATTTACTTCTTTTATTTTTCTTTTTAACCTTCGCGGAATTTAAAACCGACGGCACAGATTTTTAACACTTGATAACGATTCCTTCACAAAAGGGATGGTTGTCCGTTGAACCCGACCGGGACCAGTTGGTCCCGATTTAATTTCAGCATTTAAGTGGTTTGGAACTCAAGAATACGTCAAAAAAAATAGCAAAAAGCCGTTATGGTTCGATGGCAACACTGTCCAAACGTAAGAAGTCGATTTGATATTATTGTCTAATATAAACGGTTTTTTGTTTTAAAAAAGTTCGAGCTCGTAGCTCGATCGACAGATCAAACGTTTCCTCAGTGTTCTTTTTCCCTCATTATATGTAAACTGTACATTATGTGAGAGTTGTATGGAGCGGCGCATAATCATGCGAATTAAACAATTCAATGAGCTACTTGAGTCATATTGAGTGTATCATCTTTACAGGTGATATTTTGTCAGCTATGAAATAGCAACACACTTAGACCATCATAACGACGCAGACATTTCAGTGATCGTATTAACAAGGTGGCTGGACAGATAACAAAGAGACCAAGTCTCCCTTTTAATTCAGTTGCTTTCAGTCTAACAGTCAAAATAACAATAATCGCACTCTTTCAAAGGGAATAAGAATAACAGTTAACACTTATTTAAGCTCATCAGAGCTACACAAAGCCACAAAGCCACAAAGCTACAAAGCCACTTAAGGCTCACACAGTACTTAATTAAATCTAAAAGTAGTGATTAAGAGCGCTGGACACCGAAGTACCTCCCATCAATTTGTCCTTGCACGGCAAGAGATTCGACGTCGATCATGCAATGTCGTGAATGAAAGGCGGATTTGTCCATAGGAGGCATGACGAAGTGCGAGACCTGTTCGCATCCCTTCTCAAGGACGTATGCCATAATGTTGAAGTTGAGCCACACCTTCGATTCAGACCTTCACAGGAGAAGTTTTAACCGGCAGTGCCTACTCCTTTGATAAAGCTCGCTTGGATATCAGTGCGCTCGGTTTTTGGCAAAGGGGGCAACGTGCATTTTTCGATGTTAGGGTTTTTAACCTTTCGCAAAGAGCCACCCAAAGTCCTAAACCAGAAACTTAACTCGGCTTTCGCGAGCAATGAGAATGAGGAAAAGTGACACTGCAACCGGCGAAATATTGAAGTGGAGCATGGCTCCTTCAGCCCCCTCGTGTTCTCACCGTATGGAGGAAATGGTAGAGAAGCCGAACGATTTCTCACTGAACTAGCCCTGAAGCTATCCGAGAAGAAGCGAATGGAGTATAGCATAGTAATTCATTGGCTGAGATCGAGCAAAACTATCTTCTAATTTGACGGGGGTTCGTCACAGCGAACACTCTTGGATTCTTGTTGCTGTGAATGTCGTTTTGTTTTGCTGCTGTTTTGTTATGGCTTCTTGTCTGGGCCATTTAAAAGGAAAATGTATGACCAAACTGATGAAAGTTTGTATCAGAAACAATCAAAGCATAGATTCTTGAAAATGTGCTTGGACAAGGATAAGAAAACATTGATAACTGTGTTTAGATGTTGGCCGCATTACAAAAACAAACGGCAAAGTCTTCGGAGCCGTTTGAGGCAATGAATGAAATGTTTACCTTCAATAGTTTTTGTATTTAAATTAAGTATTTGCGTTGTTGCTTTGTCTTCTTTTGTACTCGAAATTGCGGTTTTCACCTGTAGCACCGTATCATACAGATCATTGAAGAAGCTTTTAAATTTTATTTGGCAACGAAATGCCAAAGTATGAAAGAGCAATAGTAGTTCTATACGTTTGTTTATTTTTAAAGTATAGGTTAAATGACACCATAAAAATAAACCTTTTTTTAGATCTTGCAGTGTGTTTTTGTTTCAACCACAAACGGTTCGAGTGTACAATATTTCGCTTCTGTGACACCCTAAAAAATTTGGATAAACTAACCAGCTATAACTGTAGTATTAAAGTAAGAGGACTACGTGCTTGTCCAATTTGGAAATAACTGAATTCAAAAAATTCCTCTGACAGCCAAATTTTGGCTGTCCTCGGAATTTTTTTCATCCAATTATTTCCAGAGTGGACAGCATGTAGTCCCCAGCTATTACATAAAAAAATCGTATAACCGACGTGCTTGGTACTAAAATAAAATGCGTGGTACAAAGAGTAAGGATATAAACAGCGTGGGTTGAAAATTGTTTCGGCCAGAAAAAAAGTGCTGTGAAGTGGACTGCGGATAACGCGAAGAGACTTGCAAGAAACTAAACAGAACTGCGCTTAGTGCGGACCAAAATGAACTGAACAAAATGTACTGCAAAACTACGATATAAACAAGACGCACGAGTGCGTGAAGCCGGCCTTCTTTTATAGTTAGTTCATCATGATAGAGCGCCGGGGGAAAATGTGCACTATGCAATAATGCACTACAGCCCATATGAACTTTGATGATGACTTGATGATGAAAAAATGGAAATAAAAATACTACCGGCTAGCAAATCAGACTGGAAAGACTCGAACGTTCCAAAGGGGTGTACTTGACCATGACTGCACAACAATATATGCTTCAGAGTAGTGTTGCAGCGAGTTTTCTTTTTCTATGAATTAGCATGAGCTTCAGTCACAATCTTTTAATTAGTAAACTAATATTTTGAGGGAAAAAAACTTTGCAATAACACCTTATAAGAAGAGGACTAGAGAACATAGTGGTTAGAATAATGATGCCAGGATTTCAAATTTGTTTTGGTTGCTGAAGTGATTATTGTACATGTTAAATTGCTACAAAGGAGTAAAAAACCCAGATCTTCCCATGAGTAAGATATTTATTCATTTTATTATCACTATGATACAGGTACTTCAAAGACAAACTACTGGCATAGCTAATTCATCATCAGAAAACTTCGAAAAGTGTTGCTGCACTTATCGTTTGATTTGAGATCAAGTTCATCTTCTCTGAAAAAAAAGGAAATAAATAAAGAATATGTCATTTCTAAATATATGAATGTTGGATCGATCAAAATGGCGTTTTGCAAGATCGAAATTTGATAGTAAGCAATCGCCCGTTTTTTAAAAAGCTATAAGCTTACATGTAATCTTTGATTTAATTTAACAATGAGATGTTCTTTGATCGATCAAAATCATGTCGAATTTTAGCATTTAATAACTCTACGTACTTTACAGACCTGCCGCTTCTGTGCGAGCTCGATACAAGTTAATCCATATGCCAAAAAAAAGTCAAAGAATGTTTCTTTCACTCGATATAGTAAGTTTCCGTTATTATACCGAGACAGCCGGGAAGCACGAAACTTGGACCTAGCACAAACTTCGGCGATGAACAGTCACTGACAGATTTGTTGGTTTTGATCAATGGAAATTAATGCACTTGAAACGGTAATTAACTGCCACTTTCCTGCAATTAGGTGCAAACTATGCTATATTAGTAAATCAAAGCAAATGTCTGCTTTCAAATTTTGTAATGTGTCTTGCTGTTTTGCGATTTAAACTATAAAGCGTAAAATTTCTAAGGTGTTTACAGTGACGTGTGTGGACGTGTTTTTACAGATCGAACAGCAAAGTTGTACAATTTAGCACAAAAACGGTCCATATGTTTTACGAAACTGCTTCTTCCTTACACCTCGGCACACGCTTACTCGCCAAAGCAAAGCCCAATAGTGTTTCTTCAACTGCTATATAAATTCTCGAGACTTGCACTAAACATAAAAAGTGAAATTTACGCACCTTTTCAGGGACACCCAACGAGAATATAGTTCAAAACCGTTTAAACATAGCATTGTTAAGCGTATCTTAGTATTTAAACGGTAGATATAGGCGACTATATCTAGCGATCGCAACGCCGATCTCGTTTAAACGGATCGAGCCACCGTGTTTGTCTGACAGCGCTAGGATGGATTATCCTCTAGAAAACACATATCACTAAACATTTCGACCATAATAATTGTCGACCTCTCATAGAGGCAATAAAACAACAAAGTTAACGCTACCGACTGGAAAAAGCTATCTTTTGTTCTCAAGGGGATATTACCTCTAAGCCAATGAATTTTCCCGAAATCGATCACGTGATATTTCGCCAGTACAGACATGCGCTTTAAAGAGCAGATTCGACGACGAAGGAAAAACCCAGGCCATTTTATAAACCGTCTCTTCCTGATGGGAAGGCTAGGTAAAAGTACGCTAGAACATGCAGAAAATGAAAAAAAAAGGCTATAGAACCTTAGAAAGGCGCTAATGAACATGAAACAGCAAAGAAACGCTAACGATAGGGCCAAAACTGACAGAAAGGAATAAACACCTAAATTCACACAAATAAACTAAACAAAACGAAAAAAAGAACGATAAACATGTATAAACTAATTAGCGTACGCAAAGGAAAAACAAATTACGCAAAAACGAATAACAGAACAAAAAGGTTACACTTGGATCTTACAGATTCTTATCAGAAATTTAAATGTTTTTTGTTATGATAATGATTCAATTCAATTTTTCGTATATTTTAAAATCAACGATTAAAAAAAACTTGACGTTTCGATGGCTTAATCGAGCTTCATGTCATCATCTTTAAAAAGCTAAGAAATTAACATCATTTGTGGATATATATAACACTTATCAGAAACTCATAAGGGGTTATTCATCCCCTTATCAGTTTTTTGCACATTATACTTGATTTCAGCTAATGCAGAACTGCTGTCAGAGTGCTCAATAGAAGAACTAGAGCGAGAATACCAGAAAAGTACAATAACTAAAGATTTGACTATACTAGGCATTTATTACTATATATAGTAATAGCACTCTTCAGATAAAATAGCCTAATGGTAGATTACAAGAGTGCGCTGATTATAACTGAATTTTTATAATGCAGTTACTATATAGATACAACGCATTAACTACCGAATCAACTGGAAGATTTTGAAGCAGGCTATCGCCTACAGCTCCTTCTCCAAACAGTGCAATTTAAGTCTGTGCATGGGAGGAGTATTTTATTATCTGTAAGCCCCATTTAGCCACCCTTAACAAGCGCAACGACCTTCTATCTTCGTGTAGACACGCTAGCAAATTAACCAAGCTGATGGTGCTGGGAACCCGACAAATGCTTCAGAAACTACCTGTAAAGGAGGTTTCTCTGGCCTCTGCTCGAGACCTGGGACTTCAAGTAGACTCCACCCTTAGCTCTGATGAACGTATCACAAACATTGGCTCATCATGTTTAGGTAGATTATGTCAGATATTAAAATAGAGTGAGACATCTTCTCGACACTAGGACACTAGAGAATGTTATAAATGCGCTGGTATTTGGCAGAATATACTATTGTTCTCCAGTATGGCCTATCCTATCTAAGCTGCAAAAAATCCAGAATTTCGTAGCATGAATCATTACTAATAAACGTAAATCTAACCTTATGACACCGGTTCTCAAGTAGTTAGCCTGGCTCCCTGTAAGCAGTTCTTTGACGTATACATTCCAGCGCTTTGTAACGAGATCTGCTGTTCATGATGTTATTATTATCATTATTAAAGAGAGCGTTCCTGAATTGAAACGTGCAAAATGTAAACAAAAAGTTTGGTTGATTTAACATAGGTCATTCAAAAACGTCTAACTTTGTTCTTTCACCAATTTAATCAGCCAAAAGTTCAGTGACTTAGCGGGAATATGGGCTACAGCAGTGTCCAAGCATTGCACTCAAGACTTGTCAGTTGTGAAGACGCAAGGCTCGAGTACTGGATTTTTGTTTTCCTACCATTCGGCCATTCCAGGAAAAAAATTTCCAAGACTAACTGCACGTGTTGACTGTGGGGTAGCATTTTCGATTAACTTCTTCTCTTCCTCGGCATTTTTAGGCTTCCGGAAAGCTCTGGAACAGGACGCCATGTCCTCTTCTGTTAGTGTCGTTCGTAGAAGAAAAGTTCCAAACGCGTGTGAGATTTGATTTTCTTACACGTCTAATTTCACATATAATATTTTTTCCCTAATTTTCAACGTTCACAAAAGCATCATTGTTATCAACTCCATTGAGACGCGCTATTCCAGGAATGTCTGACGACGTTCGAAAAACTTGCAGAGCGTGTTTTATCGGGTTTAAAATCACGAGCCGAAGGCGAGTGATTTTAAACCTGATAAAACGGTGCGGCTCGTTTATTAATCATAACTTATGATTATATTTTCAAGGCGTCCTCACTCAAGAAACGGATCGAAATGTTACCATTTTTGGAAGACAGTATGTTGCAGCTTCCTATGTTAAGTTTATAGAGTCTGCGGGAGGAAGAATGGTACCTATTTTGTATCCTTTGCAAATATTATATTTTGCAATTTTATATCATATTTATTATACATTACAAATATTACATTCTGCAACTATATATTATTATCATCATCATCATCTTAAACTATAACAAAATTCTCTAACCTGATTGGCTATCGGCAGCGTTGCTTTCAGTATCACCTGGTGTATAAATAGGACAAGTCGTCATACCTAAAGTAATTGGACAGTGCGCGTCATCTCGCGCGCGCACTTGAATCTCTTCTTTCTTCCTTTTTTTCCCACTTATAGCAGGAAAAAAAAACTCTCAGAGTATCCTGTTTCAATTTTAAGAAAGCTTAAAATATCACAAATTTTGTTAAAGTTATTGAAAAGTTGCCACACTTGCGGTGTTTACCATTTACATAAACCACCCCGGTGGAAATCTTATGTGCAACAAATCAACTAGACGAATAAGGCGGTAATTCCGTTATACTTACCACTGACATGAAACGTCAATCATTAAAAAAGGTTTAATTCTTAGCTATTTACTACAGCATAAATGCTACCGATGAAGAGGTTGAAAAACTTTTTAATCACATAAATGGGTGAGTACTAAACAAAAAAAGTAATTAAACTGAATATGATCCTTGCTTAGTTTTATGAAGACCGTCGTTGAAGTTTCAGGAAGGGATTTGCTTCCATTGAGTTTCCTAAACCGCAAAGCATTTCTTTTCCAATCTTTGATTTAACTTTTTAGAGCCATTTTCCCTGGAGGGCATAGACTTCTCCATCGCACAAATTATACAAGAGTGGGAAAAAAGATATTTGATCTGGCTATAAAGGTAAGCTTTACAAAAACACCATCACGTATTCCAGCTTAACCTTGTCCCGAAAGGCTTCTTTTCTTTGTGCCTAAGGAGGGAACTTAAGCAACAACGGAGGCGACGACTACGGGAACGTCACTTAATAAGTGAATTCGTGCGAGAAAGACACGCGAGTGGAGAGGGAGCGCCTGCCCGAGAGGCCCATGAAAATCGTTCTTACTCGCTTTCTGAGAGTGCGGAAAATTCCTATTGGCTAAGGGGCTCCCGAGCAGATAAGTGTTCGCGTTGGGCGAGAAAACTGTCAATCAAAGAAATACGAGATCGTTTGCAAACATGTAATACTGTATATGGACAAGACAGTGAAGGTCTTATATTACACCACTAAATGGTATAATCGAAGATCAGATCTTTCAGGTCACCTCAGTAGGACTTTAGTTTATGGCTGTAATCTTAAAGAAAAGTTGGAGTGTTCAAACGGTATTTACGAAGTAAATACAAATTAGCAGAAGCGGCGGCAGACAAAAGATATGCCGACACGTTGAAATAAAGATCAAAGGAAATATTCGTTGTTCAAAACGAACTTGGCGGCTTGCATTGTCGGTGGAACGCATACCATAAAGACCTGGACAGTATTAACGAAATGAAACACTTACCTGGCCTAGGGGCATGAAAAACCTTTCGCTAGTGTTATCATTTGCTCGAAGACGTTTTTATAGTCTACACTCAGGTCGCATTTGAGCGAATGATATCAATAGCGAAAGGTTTTTTGAAAACAAGCCGCTATTATTTTTTTTTTTTTTATCAATCCTGTCCAGGTCTTGATGTATGCGTTTCATCCGATAACGCATGCCGCCAAGTTCTGTTAGAACAAACAATATTTCCTCTGATCTTCATTGCAACGATTCGACAAATCTTTTGTCTGTCACCGCTTATGGGTATTTGATGTTAAATCGCTCCTTCGGTGAATACTGTTTGAACACTCCAACTTTTCTTTGAGATTACAGTGACATAGTCCCATTGAATTAGTGACCTCCAAGATCTGATCTTCGATTATACCATTTAATGGTGTAATATTTAAGCAATAGAAAACGTTTTCCGTGTTCGCCTAGCCTGATTAAACACGAGAAGGGGTGGGAGAATGCAAACCCAAGACGAAGTCGAGGGTTGCATAATTGTCGAGAATTCTCCCAACCACTCGAGTGTTTTTATCAGTCTATGCAAATAGAGTGAAAAAGTGTTCTATTGCTTTTATAAAAAAAACTTTCCCGAGAAAATATGCAAAACTCCTTATTTAGGGCAATGATTAAAAGATAAATTCTTACTAGTCACGAAGTCTTGTACACGAAACTTGTACGCGTAATCAGTTCTTGTTTTGCAATAAAGATGCTTTCCAAAAACACGGGTTTTTCTCACTAAAACTGTCAGCTTAGGCGAAAAAAAAATTGACACAGCATGTTTCCGAAGATTTTCCAAGTTTCAGCCGACGAGGAAATGGGTAAATAAAGTAAATGTGTCGAGCTTTCAACTAAAAAACTTTTTTGACGCCACTACCATGTTTACATACTCTCATGCAAACACGCCTCTCGGCCAATCAGACCGCGCGTACTGTCTTTTTATAAAAGACCTTCACTGTCTTGTCCATGTACGGCACTACACGTTTACAAACGATATCGTGCTTTTTTTGATTGACAGTTTTTTCGCCTAACGCGAACACTTATCCCCCGCGAGCCTCTTAACCAATAGGAATTTTCCGCACTCTCAGAAAGCGAGTTAAAACGGTTTGCATGGGCCTCACGGGCAGGCGCTCCCACTTCCCTCACGTGTCTCCCTCGCGCGTTTCGTTCTTTCTTGCGCCCATTACTTCCAAGCGCCTGCTACGTAGGCTAGCGATGACTGTATTCGCAAGGCTAAGATGGTTCTGTTAATTGTGTTTTTAGCTCAGCCAGTTTATGGCCCATACAGTTTGTATGGCGTTTTGCACCTGACTACTGTGGCAGTCCTACTAATGCGTAATCTAAATTCCTTTGAAGGCTTTTGACAAAGGTGACGTGTTTCCCATCTGGGCAGAATGCCTTGGTCTTGAACTGGTTTCAATGTTAGTTGGCAAAGGAAATATGCAATTAGGACAACTTGACACCAAGGTGTTCTCTTCAGTCGATGCAGCGAACATCAGCCTTCCTCTTATTTTCCCCAAAGGTATGTTTAGGTATAACAAGGTATGTCCCTTAGGAACCACCTAAAGTTGCGGTCAAAGAGCGAGGGAAGGAAGGCACCGTTATCTTTACAGCATTTGCTGGTTACATCAGTTATATTGGGAAAGTTAGATGTCAAGCAATGCTCGAGAACAGAAAACAAACATCTTCAAAGGCCAGGATTGTTCGCTTCTTAAAATCATGTATTTTTACGGCGGTTATTTTACATTAAAACAAAAGCACTTAATTTGAGTGCCACACCATTTTTACGTCTCCAACTACAGACGGGACTTCCATTTTACAAGGTCATCCGAACTACGCGAAGGTCTAGCCGCTTGCAGTGTATAAGAAGTATATTCATTTCTCAGTTATTTTAACACCCTGAGTATTGGTCCGGCCCAGGAAATCGAACTCCCGACCTTTCACTCAACAGTCAAGCGCTCTGCCGACTGCCGCAGTTAAATTGAATTGTTCAACCTCCTTTGGGACACTTCGCTTATGTCAATTTAGTTAGAACCTTTACGGATGAGCTTCACATATCCGAACCGTCGTTTGTCGGTTCTGGATTTTTTTTTTTTACTGAAAATCACACTGTATGAAAGCAGACGCCTGATACCGGGACGTTGATATGGAGAGATTGATTTGCTGGGTTTACTAGGCTGACAGGGGGGCGGAATAAAACGAAAGTAATGCAATTTTAGCCTGCATCACTGATTAACAGCCGATGAGGAGACCCCCTTTCAGTATTGTTGTGAGATGCGTTGACATGTTGAGAATAGTTTCGCCTCGTTTTAACTCTGTTGGGATAACTCGTGCAAAAACAACTTCCTTTACACGTTTTACAAATCCCACATGACTAGAAGGGTCTGATCTGATTTTCTCTTAAGACACAGGTACGAATAAATAACGTGCATTTGCATCTCAGGGAACCTGTACTACTCTAGCTTTAACATACCACGAATACACCTTCTCCTAATGTTTCTATTTACAGACTATAGCAGGGCTACCATGTGGGAAGATGCTCCACCTCATACGGTAAATTACCTACGGGGAAACGCAGTGTCATACAACAACCACAAAAAAGCAGTCACGCCCAAGGTGAAGATAAATCTAATAAATGAATATACAACTTTATTTATCCAACTTTAATCCTTTTTTTTTTCCGCTAGTAAGACAAAGGATGAAGTTAACTTTAAGAAACAGGGTTAGGGTCAAGAGATTTATCGTTTCATACCAGTTTAGAAGAACTCAAAAAGGATTCAAAAACTTAGCAGACCTTTGCTCGCCGGAGAAAAGAATTTCATACCTTCCATTACGCAACAATAACCTCAGATGTAAGTTATATCAAGATCTCAAGTCAGGGACTTAATGCTATTCTTTCTTTCTTTTTTTATCCCAGACCTTTCACAAGAACAAATATTTAAAGGACTTTTTTAGGGTTGTTGCGACCAGCAAAGATAGAAATGGAGTCGAATTTATTGCAAATATGGAAGGTATCCGTGCCGTGATTAGTGTAAACTGGTTTTAAATCTAATTTCCTTGAACATGTCTATCCAGTCAACCAACGTATTCTGAAGAACAGACCGCTTTATAACAAAATTCTAGCAATAAGGCCAATGAAGACAACTGTCTCGTTTTTTTTTTTTTTTCTATGACAGTGATATTTTTTCGAGCCAAAATAGTAAGCAAGACACTTATGTTATAGATGACTATAGAAACACCTAGAAATAGAGTAAAAATTGTGAAAGGCATGTGACATGGCTAACAGCAAAGCTGACTCTTGGTAGGCAAGCGGTATCCAGTTTTCCTCTTTCACTGGCATCCTGCGAAGGCACAGTTTGAATGGCGAAGAGATTTGGACATCAAGCATACTTTTGATAATATCCTCGTAGGGCAATACTTTGCAAACTTCTTTATGAGACAAGGTAAATGGAATAGATTCCCCGCCCATACCTATCCACATAAAAGCAATGCGAGTATCAGCGATGCTCGAACTACACTGACGTGTAATGGAACCTCTATCCTAAGAAAGAATGGCGATTACGTAGAGCGCATCAAGGCCTAGTCCATACAGTCCATATATAGCTGATTCAATAAAGGTTGCTTTGGGCATTGGGAATTGCGCATTGGGAAGCTATTGTTTGGTGCTCACCCAAGTAAATCATTGCATTGTTCCATATGCCCAAATGCCTAATGCACAATAGACCTCTTTAGCTTGTATTCTTTGTTTTCCCAATAGAGGTCCCCGGGTGACTTGGCCCTTTGTCTTTTCATGAATTATGCATACATATGCACGTGAATAAGACGACATTTGAAAGAAAAAGTTCTCTAGAGTATTTTCACATGACCTGTATCGAGAAAACAAAACTTACAAGCTAAAGAGGTCTATTACCAATGACCAATTACCAAAGCAACCTTTTTTGATTTAGCTGTATACTGAACACATGTGAACAATACAAAAGATGTTTTGGGTGCATGTTGGGAGGATAGTGGGGGGGGCATCACGCACTATTACCATGCACACGTACTTGAGTGTACACACATACACGCTAGTATTATTCCATTTCAATACACGTTTATTGAAAACTACCATTGGCCCTGTTTAGTCGAATGACCTGAGACTTCAGCTAACCATCCTAATACTAACATGTATTTTATCCACAGCAAGACGGAGCAGTCATCATTTCTCAAATTACAACGATGAAAGAGCTGCCCTCATTTACAACTACCAAACAACTTATGTAGAGGACTACCTGCCTGTGATTCAAGCCTACTTCTTTTAGATGTACTGTCAAGTAAAACCCTGAGATAGACTGTATAAAGCTAGATTGCGAAATTGTCCACTTTACCATTTAAATTCCTCCTCTTCAGCAACAGAATTCCCGTGAAAAATTTGGTCATTAAGTAAGTCTGAGCGTTTAATTCCTCTCATACCCAATGCCGTGTCCACTAAAATATATGGCCACATCATGATGGAGAATTATTCTGAAAGTCTTGTCAAACCTTTGTCTTTTTGGATTTGTGAGGACTTTCCCTTTCTTCTGTTTTTCGTTTTGATGCCGATCTTCTGTTAAATAACTCTGGTGCATACTTCTGTCCTATAGCGTGCGTCCAAAGGCCCAATTCAATTTTGTGCTCATTCCATTCACCTTTTGGATCTGAGAAAAATACATTATAATCTAGGAAAGTTTGCAATGACGTTTATATATTAAGAATCAAAATTCGGACGAGAAAACGACCGTGGTGTTTTGTTACTGATATTTGCGCTGAAAAAATGAGGTCGGTATAATAATAGGTAGTGTGGGGGCGGGGGGTAAGCCATGGGTAAACAAGTTGCACTGAAGTTTAGTTTTGAAGCTGCAATAACGCGGATTATTAATTTTTTTTTCAAATACAGTTACTTTCAATATTTGTAACTCAAGGAACCGTGTTCATGTACACATAACTTCCCTAGTTAATTTGCTGCAAATTTGCAGGACAAGAACATTGAAGTGACCGGCTGCCTAGTTTAACATCGTCTGTAACTTCTCTTTCAGCATCTAGCTAAAAAATAGTCTGAATCTCAGCCATCACCTTAAGTCACATGCCCATAAGCACCTTAAGGAGGTGAAAGCTGAAGTTCAAGCTACTAAAAAATCTGTAGTGTAGTGTGCAAGAAGAATATTACTGAATTACTTAGACATTGCAAATGGGAGTATCAGTTACCTTTTTTGTGTAAATGCTTAAGACAGCTTCTTATTTTCTCGATATAATCCAGATAGAACTTCAATGAATATTCTATCTTTCCAAACCCTGGAATGGCTTGTATTGATTCATCTGCCATGAATGGTACTTTGTGGCTGCCAGCACAAAGGATTGCTTAATGACAACGAAAGAAAAGTATTAAAAATAAGAATCTCATAAGGGCCAAAAGTGCCCAAAACATATAAATTATCTTGAAATATTCCTAAACTCCTAACTCTAACTCTAACTTCTAACCATACATGTACTAACTCATGATTGCTTAAAAATTATATACTTGCTGGAGGTTTGATATAAAACATTTAGCGCTCAAAATAACAGCCAGTCATCAAACAATGTCTCGCCAAAATGACCATTTGTCCGGACAAACTTTCACTTGGCCGGTCATTCTTACTGTTCAAATATATAGCTTTCATAAAAAATACAAATTACAAACTAAAATATTTTAGCTGGTTGCAGTCATAAATTCGGAGAATACAGGTGAGATGGTCATGTTCTGTGGCCTTGTGAATGCAAAAAAAGAAAAAGAAAAGACAATTCTCTGTTCGTTGTGTGTTTTATCATCTGCACATTCATGAGAACAGTGCAGTGTAAAATGGTGAAACATGTGTCTTTGAATTTCAGTGCACTGCGCTTTTGAGCATATACTGTATGAGGCAATACTTTTGTCTTAAATGGCTATTACTTTAAAATATAAATTTTAAACATGTTGACTGGTCAGAAACAAGTCAGCATGACTGAGAAAAAATTTGTTTGGCCGGTCAATATTGACCAGACAGAAACGAGCCATGACTGCATGAACTTGTTTGGCTATAGTCAACAAGACTGGTCACTGTCCAATTATCATTTTGAGCCATGAAAACTTCATACTATAGGATTTTAACCTCCAAGTCTAACAAGTTTTTTTGTTCTACTTTTTCAACTTTAATTTTTTTACTTTAATTTCGCAAATGTTTACAAATTTTACGAAAAATGTAAAACTAAAGACCAGCAAAATAAAAAGAACCAATAAAGTAGTGCCAAAGTAAAGAAATGCCTCAGGGCAGAATTATATATGTAGTATGGTTCCTAGTTAGTAAGGGAAATAACGCCAGCTCTCACATTGCCTGCCAGGCTTGAAAAAAAAATTTGGAACTCCAGCAGCTCCACATTTTGCTTTTAGTACCTCGGCCATTGCTTGTTTGTCTCAGCAGTTAAAGATTTAAGTTAATTACATGATGACTTGACTACACTCTTATCCATTAGGCAAGTGGGCTTAAAAAGTTACTTGCCCAGCAAGAAAATTTACTTGCCTTAGATGACCAGAAGGGCCTTTCTTGAGCCCTTGTCATGAGCACGTTTTTCAACTAACTGACAAAACCCTCCCTGCATCCACACTGTGGGAACTTCAGTTGATTCAGTTCTGTTTAATCCTGTGTTTCATACCTGAAGCTGTTGCCGGTCCCACTGCTTTCAGCTTTGTCAATTCACTGATTGCCTGTTTAATGTCAGGTAAACACTTGAAGGCTTTACTTGTGACCTCCTTCACTGTTTCACTGTCATTTGTCTGCACAAGCTGAGTAAGACGAGGTCTGAACTTTCCACGCTGAGAATGTTAATGAACAGTGAGAGAAAAAGCTTAAACTTTTATTTATAAATGAAAACTATATATACCTGTACGTATTAAAGTATTATTCACGTCACACTGTGTTTCATTGAATCATTTTTGTAGCTTTAATAATGAACCTCTGGCATATTATTATTATTATTATTATTATATGGCACCATACCCAAAAACAAATCAAAAAATAAAATTAAAACAACAAATTAAACCAACCCATACTTCTGTGAGATTTATTAACCCAGAGATATAACTGAGTTAAAACTGCAAGTGCACATGTTACAGCTCAAAATTAAATTAATTCTCTATTTCCTTTTTCTCCTAGCCCTAATATTATTCCTGAATTTGGGCTAGGAGGCAAAGGAAATGGAGAATCAAACTAGGTCAAAAATTCTAACCTGAATATAATTTTGACCTGTAACACGTACATTTATAAGCAGGTGTGGGTGTTAGGTTTAGGGTTGGCATACAAGAAAAAGGAAATTTAGTACACCTGCAAATTTAAAAAAGTCACCAGAACCTAGAGAAAGACCCTAGTGTTTTCTTTCAACTTACCATCAGCTTCCATTCCATGAGTTTGATCAGTTCCTCCTGTGTCAGAAATTTCTCTGATCTCTTATTTATTTCTTGAGGCAACTGATTCTGAAACCTTTCAATAGTTACACTTAGTACACATTTAACACTAAATAACAGTCATCGCCATGTTTTACAGCCCCAAAACAAAGAATGAAGATCAAGAATACTCATTAGTGCATGGTGCATTAAAATCAGCAACAGTACATGAAGGGTATACAAAATATTCATATTGGTAAGATATGATTCAGTCTGACAGGTTTAAAAAAATGCAATGTGCCTTCAAAAGGGGAATGATAATTATTTGTAACATAATTATTACATACAGGTGGACATTATGGGTGGACCTATGATTGAAGCACCCTAAGAGTGTTTGCAGGCTTCTTTGGTAATTAGTTGATTTTTTTATTGGACTGGTGTGTTCTTGCAGTATAATATGAAAATAATATAATCACAAACAGTAAAAATTTAATGACCTCTCATTTTCATAAGTATGGACAAATTTCACGATAACATAAAGAACAAACTTGAAAATTATGGATTGAAAAATAAAAGGATTCATTTAAAATGCCAAAAATGGGAACTTATGATATCAATAAGTGCTGCCGATATCCAAGTCCTTTAGATATTTATTATTCATTGATACTTTATTTTCTTTTGATTTACTGATTGAGTTTATATTTGTTTTGATGGGATTTGGTTGACTTCCTTTTATTCCATAACCATTACTCATACCCTCCCCCAGTGCTTTATTTCAGTTCCTTTCTTAGGCCTTTAATCTCTCGTTATTCTCCAACACAGTTAAAAGTTCCTGAACATTATGCATCAGCATATCTGAAACTCCAGCCTGAGCTACACTTGCAACAAAAAATCTTGCATAATCCTCACTTCTTATTTGATGAACAGGTCGCACATGACAACATTTGCAGTTAAGAAGTGCCTTTCAATTTCCAATAGGTGAGAGGGAAACTGGGAAAAAATCTCATCAAGATCTCTACCAAGAGAATTTCCTCCTGACAGTGAAACAGCCATTTTGAAGTGCTATTTCCTAAGGGCCTGGACACTAAAAAGTCGATAACAAATCAGTGAGAATTTATATATGTCTGACAGTGTGCGAATGGCCAAAACTAACATGCCGATGCAAGTCTAAATTGTTCAGCAGATGATTTTCCTATATCTGAGCAAGTCAAACCAAATGCTGAAAGCAAGTTTTGAATATTTATCTTAAGGTGATTCCATAGTAAAAGAACCTAACATAGATTGTAGCTAAAACTTGGTGCACTGATGTAACAAGTCAAGAAGATGATAAAAAAGTAATAAAAAGTGGGGTCACCGTGCTCGTTTTGACGTCACAATGCTGACAAATACGGCTATTTAGGACCCTTTTACAAAAACCGTGGGCAGCCCCAAACTAGACAAAAAGGACATATTTTTTTGGATGATGCATGTGGCATCACACAGAATTTGACTTTAACGTATTTTTTATCCACTTACGTACCAGAAAAATGCCTTTTAATGCCCTTGTTTTTACTTTACGCTCCAAAGTAGAATTAAATTGGATGCGCGCTTTTCAACCCGTGATGGCTCAATCCGTACAATTTAGTAAAATTGCCAAAAAACTGAACATAGATTTGTGCCAATTTTTTTCTCATCGAAAGGAAGCACTGTCCTTATTAAAATCATGAAATAAAAAATGGGGGTCACCGTACTCGTTTTTGCTGTAGAGCTGCAGAAAGTGCGCACCAAACGCATTTTCTCCAATTTTTGAGAGAGGACTGGGGCGAGTTTGAAAATAGAATGTATGTGAAAGGGGGAAGGAAGTACAGAATTTACATCGAGATATCACATTTAGGACACAATGTGATAAAGAAAGTGTTTAAATGAAAATCAAAGTGAGAAAGCACATCCACTATCCACATCCACATCCACTATCGAGGTTCTTCGAGAGGAGGTCAAACTCAGCAACACGTGTACTGCTTATGTTATGCACATTCCCAACACATTGAGTCTCACCTCGGCAAGAAACAACAGCAAGCAAAAATTCCAAAAGCGTTTCTCTTCAGTCAACTTCATTTTACAGTCAAACCAGGTCAAGCGTTCCCGTCGCTAGCAAACTAATGAATTCATTAATGGAAAAATGATTTCGTTTGTTGATTGAATAATCCATTCATAAAATGAATAATTCAACAGTCAAATTGGACCTCGATTCAATAATTAAATGTTGATTTGGTTTATGAACAAAATCTACCTGTTCTTTACTCTTGTCTGTTGAGTTCAATCGTATTTGCTTGCCGTTTCCTGCCGTTTAAGATTGCATTTTTAATTGCCTTTAATCAAAATAACACCTAGAAGAGACAGACCGCAAACGCAAAGAAACTGACAAAGGCCGGGGATTGAAATCCACCAATCACTGCACATACACTGACCTCAGTTTGACCGTCGTGTTTTCTAAGAGGTCAGGTCCGTTGCACTGATTACTGGAAGCAAAACGGCGTGCATGGAACAGTTTGTTTGGGTTTGAACTTCAGAACTCGTCCGCACTCGACTCTTAGAAAAAAAGAAGAAAAAATGTGTAGTTTTTCAAGAAACAGTAATCGAATCAACATTCCATTATAGAATCGAGGCTAAATATGAATATTGGATTGTTCATTTTATGAATGGATTATTGAATCAACAAACGAAATCATTTTTCCGTTAATGAAATCATTAGTGCGTTAGCGACGGGAATGCTTCGCCTGGTTTGACTGTAATAATATTACTTCAAATGCTCTTTTTTACGGTGGCCATCTTGTTATGCGCAGTAAGAGATGCTCAGTGCAAAACTAGGGAATCACCTTAAGTAGTATACATGACGATCATTGCACTATGATGTATAGTTTTTTAATGGTTGTGATGTGTTCTCTTTATTTGGAAATAAGTTTTAGAAATAAGGAACAAGTGTTATATATTTTGGAAAGTTTTATACATTTAAAGGAAGAATTTTTGTCCACTTTAGTGCATCATATTTATCCAGTTAGATTTGAATTATGACGAATTTCCTATTGAGGCTCCCAGTGGGCACCCTCCTCCCCACCTGCCAAGAAAGCTTAGGATTGATCCATCATCCAGCTCTAAGTCAATTGATGAGTGTCAACATTCAATTTGCATAACTTGTAGGATGTTGAGGAAAAACCTGGCATTTTAATCAGCTGCTTGTTTAAGGTTTCTCTCCTTTAAAGGGGCTATGTCATTCCTGCTGCATGCGCGAGCCAATAACAACAAACTTGAAAACATCAACCCGATTTTTTTAAGTTCTGTCGGAGATTTTCGGAAGGCTGTTTTTATCTGTTTATATCTGAGCCATCGTTTGATAGTTAGCGCAGTTTTGTATCAACAATCATTCTGTAGTGATTACAGAAGAATTTTTGGGTCATTTTTGAAATTATTGTTTGCCCTTAGAATTTGTTTACCTGGATTTACAGTGTCCTCTTATCAGCGGCCATTGGACTGGCAGACAATTAACAACCACTACTCCACAATGAGTGATGGAATCTTAGATGGAATCTTCCTTATATGGTTCACAGAACCTTTCTGTTGAGTTATTTTAAAGGCTGCTGGCACTTGGATTTTGTGTGCGGTGTGTGTGTGTGACTGCTCTAAAAACTGTACAGTAACTGTCCTAAATATTATTGGAATAATAATGTTAAAAAGAGAATTTCCAATTACACTGGATACAAGCCCCAGGATTTTACAGTAATGATCATTTCCAGTACCTCGTCGTTAATGTGGTCGTAAGACAATAAAAACGAAAATAGTTTCCCTGTAACATTTTCAGCCTTAAGGATCAATAATTAACAGAAACTCACTATTTTTCCACTTGGACTCTTAACTAGCAGATCAATTCTTTAGCTATAACTCGGCTTACCGGTATATACAAAACTAAAAGGTTTTCTAGCATCTATCAGTTCTCCTATTGTCTGCCACTTGAATTGTTCCCAAAGTGCATTGCACGTTACTGATTTACGCCTTCCAGTGCCAATATATGACTTCAAAAAATTGAAAACATTTAGGGGATGGGTTCCCATGAATTTTCAGGAACCAAAAAATTGTTACAGATGGTTTCCCCATGATCTCTGNCAACCACTACTCCACAATGAGTGATGGAATCTTAGATGGAATCTTCCTTATATGGTTCACAGAACCTTTCTGTTGAGTTATTTTAAAGGCTGCTGGCACTTGGATTTTGTGTGCGGTGTGTGTGTGTGACTGCTCTAAAAACTGTACAGTAACTGTCCTAAATATTATTGGAATAATAATGTTATAAAGAGAATTTCCAATTACACTGGATACAAGCCCCAGGATTTTACAGTAATGATCATTTCCAGTACCTCGTCGTTAATGTGGTTGTAAGACAATAAAAACGAAAATAGTTTCCCTGTAACATTTTCAGCCTTAAGGATCAATAATTAACAGAAACTCACTATTTTTCCACTTGGACTCTTAACTAGCAGATCAATTCTTTAGCTATAACTCGGCTTACCGGTATATACAAAACTAAAAGGTTTTCTAGCATCTATCAGTTCTCCTATTGTCTGCCACTTGAATTGTTCCCAAAGTGCATTGCACGTTACTGATTTACGCCTTCCAGTGCCAATATATGACTTCAAAAAATTGAAAACATTTAGGGGATGGGTTCCCATGAATTTTCAGGAACCAAAAAATTGTTACAGATGGTTTCCCCATGATCTCTGCGCATGCAACCAAAAAATTGTTTGCCATGGGATATGAAATCTTAGGGGTTGGAAATTGTGATCGATAAGGTGGGTTTTTTTGGTTTGGATTCTCCTCTCAACTAATATCTTTTCATTCCACATACATTTGAGTATTCTCAACAGAACAATGACATTAAGCAAAATTTGGGTGGGGTGGAGGGGCAAACAGAGTGTAGTTAACAATTATTCCTCGAGCCTGACTGGGCTCTAAGTTAATAGCCCATGAGGCCAAAGGCCGAATGGGCTATTGACTCAGAGGCCATGAGGGTGAGAGGAATAATATTGTTCGAGTAAAAATTATCCAACCAGTTGGCCAAAAATATCGAGACAAAACAACTTTAGCTAGCAAAAGGAGATTCAGCCACCACTGTTTTGGTTTTCAAAGCCGGCACTTTTCGCTACTAGAAGGCTATAACATATAGCCTAGTAGTAGCTCAACCAATCAGAATGCAGCATTGATAATAGACCACTAGTTGGATTTTACTAACATAGAGGATTCAAAAATAAGCAATAGCGTGAAAGTCTGAAATGAGGCTAAAAGAGGATAGAGGTGATTCAGGGTCCCATGTTATTGATGTTCTTGCTGGGAGAGGTATGAGTAATGGTTACGGGATAAAATCCCCTAGCTAGCTTCCCCGTCACCCAAAACGTACCTTTTATCTTATTCAGCGGAACCTCGAAAAAACAAACCTCTAATTATGACGAAGGGATCGGTTAAACGAACGAAATTCTTCGCCCCAGTAAGAGAAAAATATATGGAAAAGGACCTCAATATTACAAAACCTTGTTTTAGCGATCGAATTTTGCCATTCGCTTAGCTATAAGCTTAAAAGCTGTGAAGTCTTGGCACATTTGCATTTAAACGAGCTATCGCTCATATGCGATATGTGGTTAAATAAAATTACTTGCTTACTTACTTACTTAAGTTTTATGGAGGTTTCACTGTAGAGGGTGTTAGGAGCTTTGGTTACATATTTCACCCCCGGGATTTCACCAGCTTACCAATAATCAAGTTCCAGAAGTTTTCCGGCCTTCTCTTTCTTTTCTTTTTCGGCTTTAAGTTTTAGCATCTTGTCATATAACAGAAATGCTTCCTTCCACGGTTCGATTTCCCTCTCCTCGTAAAGACTATAATTGGCTGCCATTATGTTTTGTGGTGAAACATTCGCGCTGCATTCCCGCTAATTCGTTTCTCGCTCCAGGCTTCCACGCTCCAATCGAAGACGATGAAAGCCTGGACAGAAACTGAGTTGTTTCCGAAGTTTCCGAACGGCCGTTTTATCTTACGTTTTATCAAGGGTGTCAGTAAAACGCGGGGTCGGGTTCGGGGCCGGGACCGGGGTTGAGGTCTATCTAACCCTAACCCTAACCCCAACAGCATTCTTTTAAAAAAAAATAGAACCCGACCCGCGTTTTACTGACACCATTTCATAAGCGTATTTTAAAGGTCAAATGAACCAAAATTTCGACATTTTTCATTTTAGTTCAATTCTAGTGAAATGTGTTTAATATGAACCAAATAAACATACTATGAAGTTTCAGCTCAATTGAAGCAAGCATCTCCGAGATATCCGCAGTTAAAACTTGCTATTTTTTGGTCCTTATCTTCGTAGAGCGGTCGGAAAAATTGTCGGAAAAAACAGCTTGTGACGTCAATGTTGGTCAGGTGAAAAAAAGCGGGAAATTCAAAACAGAGTTTCTCAAGTGGACTTGGCGCAGAAGTGGTTTGTGCGGCCATAAACCTGAAAAGAACAGGCAATTTGTCTTCAAAAGTTGCAAGCTGTGGTTATAACCTTCTTATTATTTAATTTTCTCGAAGAATACATCATACTGTAAAACGGACTTTAACGACACTTACTAATTTCCTTGAGTTGTACTGGAAATGTGCGTGCGTAAAGGGTCCGATAATTCAAAATGCATTCACAAAATATGTGTTCATATAACAGTGTATAGGGAAGTTCCTGGATATATAAGGTCCGGAGCTCCACCGTGGACACAAAAACAAAATATCTTTGCATAATAATCTGCCCAAAGAAATTCAAGTTTGCCCACAATGTGTTTGAAGTCACTGAACTTTGTAGCACTCGTGCTGATATTTTAAAACCCACGCTCGATCGGACACTTCTAGCTTCGCAGATCACTAAAATATAAACAAAATCCGCAATGTAGAATTTTTGGCGTTGATATGTGGGCCGAAAAAGAGTTAATCTTTATCTAGTACATCTTCCCCAAGATCGTTTTCAAAGCAACCATAGTTTTTTAAACTTGATCGTTTCGGGCAGATTAATTTTGCTTTGTGTTGTCAAGTTGAACATGCAAAACACCATATTAAAAACCTACGCGTATTAAAGTAAGATTTCCTTCAAACTAACGTTACATTATTGCAAAAACTTCTTTCCAATTATGTATAAGATTTAATTACCGATTGAGGTCACTTTAAGGACCATAGACGCCACTTTAACCTGGCAAAGAGATGCGACAAGCAAAGAACAATTCCATCATGCATAAAATTCAGCTTAAGTGAACTAAAAAAAGCTTCAATAAGGTTGCAAAACAACAAATTTTCATTTAAAAAAACATAAGGCTTAAGGCTCCTATACCTGCTGACAAAGACTATGAAAGAAGAAGTGAATTTTCTGTAAGGAAACAACGTACCTAAAGATATCAGTTGCAAGCTTCGCAGCCAAGCAAGCTAGATTAGCTACTTTTAATAACTGGTCCATGCGAGGGTCTTCATTCAGGCAAATTAAACTCAGCAAACTGAATCATTAGAAAATACAGAAAACTGCAAACAAGGATTTGTTTTGCTCGCTTCAGTCAAATCCAGCTCCAGCAATTGTTTACGGGCAAAGAGTCAATTGTTTTGGAGTCATTGCCGGCAGTTGTCGTTCTCCGCTACTTCACAGCGAGTGAAAGGAAAATTTGCGTACAGAAAGATACCAAAACTATGTAATTAAAACTGAAAAAACTAAAGGAAAAAAACTCTGATTATTATTACTTGAGCAACAGAAAAATTATCGAAGTAGTCTTTTCTTCTCGAGTAAGCTTGCTGGCCTTCTAAAGTTCCGAGGAAGTTTTAAGCGCCCAAGTTTGTTCACTCGCAAGCGTTAGCTTTACTGTTCTTTGACATAAGACAAGGATAAAGCCGGTTCTGCAAAGGTAAATAAATCTGGCCATGTAAAAAAACTAACCGTAACCACTAATAACAGAGTACAAGCTGGTTTTAATTCAGTCCGGAGAAAGAAGGCGAAGAACTGGACACAAAATCAATTCACAAATCGAATGCACAATTATCAGAAAAATACAAACCTCTTTGGAAATGTTCAAATTGTCTTATCCCTCCTCAGACTGACGGATGATCTGTTTTTACTCTAACATTGGTTGTTCTCAGATCCAAAGTAATTTTTAAGTGACGAAAAAACAACAACAACGAAAACAAAAAAAAAGCCTTTAAAAGGAGCAAACGTTCGCACCTCGTGTATTTCATTCAGTCTCAGTAGTGAGAACTCTCACAGAACGCGACAAACAAACGCAGGCAATAAAAGGTGCGCAGAAACTTGCGCAGAACGTTTTTCCGCCCTGAAAGACCAACATTGACGTCACGTAGTCTCCAGTCTATCACGCGGCCATTTCAGAAACGTTTTCGTGAAGTTTTCGGAAATGCTCGGATTTTGATCTTTTATCCTTCTATAAAGGCTTGGGAAGAAAAATCTTTACCCAAATCCCACTTAGGATGGTTCTTTTTAGTGTTTGGAAGGTAAAGCGACAAAAGAAAATACTTCGATTTTTTGGTTCATTTGACCTTTAACCCAAAATTCTTTCTGCCTGAGGTCAAAGACCAAATCCATCCCAGAAAATCATTAAGTTCATTACGAAAGTTATTCATTCAGTCAAGTTCATTACAATGCTCTTCATATGGAAATTATCTGCTGAATAATTAAGACCTGCAATTTGGCCCCAAAAAATAAGGCCAAAACGGGTGAGTCCAGAATGGTACCTTTTTGGGGGGCCAATTCAGCCCCACTGAGATGGGGCTGTTTTGGTATCAAAATTTGGGGCTAAATTGACCGTTGCATCGGGGCCACCAGACAGATACATACAACGACCACTTTTTTTCGTCCCGGTAGACAAAAAATCCACACATTGACTGATGTTTAAAACCTCTCTAGTTTACAACGGCCACTTTCTCCTGTCCCTATACTCCCCAAGGTGGCCGTTGTAGAGAGGTTCAACTGTATTTAAAAGAAGATGCAGACCTGCTAACTCTCACGATCCTTCCATAAGTCTCACGATCATGTTTTTTATCAGTTTTCTCACGGTCTCACGACAACACTCTTAATCTCACAGGTTTTGGAGAAAAATCATTCTGAAATGAAATGTAAATGTAAATGTAAATGTATTGTCGCGATTGAGAGGACAAACATACATGTCCTCTTTACATAGCTTTCTGCAGTGGGCTCGGATATCAGCATACTAAGGGCGATATGATATGATAAATGATATGTTACCTTGTTGAATGAAAATGGAAATATAATCAGTATAATGGAAAATGTTAGTGCCTCTTTGAGCCTTGATGGCATTTTGTCTGACATTTTTGGCCATTTTTAAAAAGTTCCCTTATCCGGAAGAAACGACCTCTTACTATAAGTTTTCTACTAGTGATGACCTCTTAGTCATGTCTTATTAGAATAATCAAAGAAAGCAGCATCTTGTTTATACAACAGGGACCAAAAATCGGGAAAAAATAGACTCTCACTACTTTTTGTAGAATCTCCAGATTTTCCTTTATAAGGGGTTGGGCCGGGAGGTCTGCAAGTTTCAATTCACAGAAACACGCAAGAAGCTAAGGCAAAGCAGTAAGCTAAGTTTTTCCTGGATTCGAGATGGTCGTACCCACGGCGACGTAACGACCAAGCAGGCTGCGATGGTTTTTTAATTTTGATCCATACTACTCTAATCTGCTGACCGCGCTTTTTTTGCCCGCGGGGTTCGGCGAATGACAGGAAGACGCAATCAAACGTTATAGATTTTATTTTCAATTTAACAGTTAATATAATAGGTTAAGACGGGAAGCCGAGACTCCTTAAGAACAATTCTGCACAGCCAACATTAACGTTCGGAAAGTTGCAGTACAATATAAAATCTTACTTTTGAAACTTATTTTCGTTCATGAAATATTATAGTTGGACTCAGGTATGGTGTGAAAAAGGTCATTCCCTTGGTCTTTACTCTTGTCAGGTCACCACTGGGTTGGGCCAGTTCAAGTGTGAACCTCTGCAAAACTGACGCCACCACCAAACGAGTAATCGCTAGGGCATACCGATACCCGAGGCACTTCCGGGGACCCAGTCCAAAGCGAAAAAAAGAACCGGCTACGTGTTTCATGCCATTAGAAAACCGTTCCGGGTAAAATTTCTCAGGATTTTCCCAAAACTGCTCAGAGAAGTTCAGGGAATAGGTATCTACGCAAACTGGTGTCTGCAGCAAGAAGAAAGAAAAACACAATTATTTTCAGTTAGAAGTTAGTAAAACCATGCAGCACCCTTGAGATGAACTCGTATATGTTGAATCCTTCGCTCAGCACCAATTTAAAAGATAAATTGTTGTTGTCTTTGCCCTCTCAAGACGCAAATGCGATTGCAGCATTCAGTATCCTAGGAAAAATCGCTAATATTCGTTTGCCTTTCTTGGTGAACCAGCAGTTAGCTATTTATTTGGGAGAAAAATCTTAAGTCATTCTACGACGGTTAGGCCTCCTTAAGGATCACAAGACAAAACTACAAAGTGTCTCTGAAATAAAAAATATAACTACTACGCGACGTTAAGGTGCCGCGATTGAGATCATGAGGTTCAAAGAAACCTCATACAGTGGAGCTTCAATATAACGAAGTGCAAAGACTGGGACTGGCAAAATTTGTTTGCTATAAAGGTTTCGTTATATCGACGATCGTTTTCTTTTATATCTTACTACTACTACGGGGCAAAGAAAAATCGTTATTTATGCCGAGGACTTCGTTATATAGATGTTCGTTATATCGATACCCTTGGTGCCAGAAACTTTTTATGCTCGGGTACCTGTTTCGGTAGCCTGCTTTGTACAGTGCCACCCCCTCCCCTCAAACAAAATGCTGGGCACAGACTAGCATCGCCCCAAACCGAGAATTGAAACCT